AGGGACTTTCCTCCACTGGTTACACCAAATTACAGTCAAGAACAAGTAATACAATCCAATGGAACAATCACGCACAGCAATGTAATCCAAGAATCTCCCACCTCATCCCCAGCAACTGGACAACACTTAGCTCTGGGGGTATAACTGAATTTTATTCACACAAACATGGCTTTTATGCCATCTCCCATGCAAGGGGTCTCACAGGCAGAAAATGCAAGTAAACTCCTCCAATTTAATTCTCTCTCAGATACAAAACATCCCCCAAATATCCTGTACCCCAAATGTCCCCTAACCATACATAGGAACCCCACAAAAAGTACATTCCCTGATAGCCCCGATCTGAGTGACCAACATATTCAAGAATCAATCAGATCGGTTTGGTAGAATGGGAACGGCATCGTGTGGAAGATTTGACCAGCCAGACACGAGGTGGTAGCCCAATATAGTTCCAGGAGAATAGGTGCCCTGGCCGGCCTCTGTTTGGGAACAGGAAAGGGAAGCGGTAAAAAGTTTACCAGTGTTTGTGTGAGTGCCTTTGCCGAAAAGGGTTCCAGGCACTCGACGACCAAGTACTGTTGCCCTCATTTGGGAGACAAGATGGCCGCCATCCTCTCTGCCACATGTTCGGTTATACGAACAGCGGCCACACAGGGGAAAGTGCTCATTAATTGTTTCCCTTGTGGTTTCACAAGTGGTGGGTGACAACGTTCTAATGGGGTACAGGGGTGGTCCTTGTTCGGAAGGTGAACGAATTTCATTCACATGAAGTCTCCTGGACGGACAGAGTGTAATCACACAAAATATATAGGATAAAACACAGTACTGTAATGGGGGGTGAACGGACAGCCAAGGAAGGGAATAAAAGTGGTTGGTGCGGATCCTTCCACTACAGATATGCCCCTTATCTGTCTTTCCGCTCCTGTCCGCTGCTCGCACCCTTACTGCTAACTTGCGCTTGCAGGATTTCTTGCAGGCAGCTCCCTTCTTTTGGAACAGCCTGTCTACACCCATCAGACTCTCCCCTAGTCTTCAATTGTTTAACCCCTTAAGGACACAACTTCTGGAATAACATGGAATCATGACGGAATATTTCCGTCATGTGTCCTTAAGTGGTTAAGAAGTCCCTCAAAACACATCTGTTCAGAAATGCTTATGGACTCCCAGAGTTACTTATCTATACTTACCCAAGTCTGTCACTTGCTCTCCTAAAGCGCGACACTCCACTCTCACCTCCAGCTCTGCTACTTTTCCACCTTGTTTGGTGGCTGTCACCCCTGCTGCCCGTTGTGTATTTGTACCCCACCTCATCTAGACTATGAGCTCATTTGAACAGGGTCCTCATCTACCTATTGTTCCTGTGTCACCGTGTAATTGTCTCATGTATTGTAAATCCCCTCCCCCCTATAATATTGTAAAGCTCTGCGAAACTAGTTGGCGTTATATAAATACCAATAATAATAATAATAATAAAGGGGTTGAATACTTTTGAGACTAGAAAAAACTGTTGATTTTAAGGAAACTACTTGAAGCATTCTTTGTGTTGAGTTATTTTAATTGCTTTTGTTTGATCTGTTCATTGTAAACAGCTAAAAGTCTGTAAATTTTGACAATAAACCTGTGATTTTTAATGTGGGTTGAACAATTGTGATTGCAACTGTAAATATATCTATCTATCTATTTCTTAAATTGCATTATTGCTAGGTCAGCTATAATTGTTTGGCGTCCATATGAGTGCCAGACAATGAGAAGATTGAGGGTCCATGAATGAAGGAACATAATAAAATATATTTGAAACTATGTTCATCATTTTGCAGCCAACTGTACCCATTCCTGGCCCCACAATTCCCTGACTCTCTGTACCACATTAGTAGAATTATTTTGTGACTTGGCAGCATGTGCCTCCATTCTCCCTGATGAAAGGCAAGCTTGCCGTGATGCCATGAATTTCCTTAATTTGCCTAAATTCTGCAAACCCAGAGACACAAACAGCTGTTGCACAGCACAGGCAGGATATTGAAAACTCCGGAGTACAGGAAAGGTAATAAGTTTTCAAATATATTGCAAATGTTCAAAGGAGATCAAAGCAAAAACATTTCTAAAATGTGATACTGGACATCCATGCGCAGGGAATACATTTTATTATAATACTAGCTACCACAAGCTGCCTGCATTTCATTTCCTATACAGTATATAAAACGTTTAGTTTTGTAGGATTTTTGAGCCATATCAGTTAAGCAGTAGGTATAATAATCTAAGCACAGCTATCTTTTATTACACTTTCATAATGGTATTAAAACAACAGCCATTCTTGAATGCTGTTGTTGATAGGTTAAGATCATGAAATAGAGAGAGCACATTGTGCACACATGTTTACAATCTAGAGCACGGGTACACAAAATGTTGATCCCCAGATATTTTAAAACTACATGTTCCATAATGCTTTGCCATTTAAAGACCCGTAAAGCATCACGAGGGTTGTAGTTCTACAAAATCTGTCAATCTTCCCTGAAATACTGCACACATTGTTTAATATTTCAGAAGCAGAATGCTTATTGGTCACAGAATACATTAGTTATCCAGTTTGATACCTAGACCAGTTTGGTCGATAACATAAGTGAGTGTATATTGGATGGCTTGGGGTATATAATTAGGTATGCAACTCTACAACACAAATTTGCTATTTGAGATTATGTGAAGCAGGTATTGCTTGGATAATGAATGCCAACATATATTTAAACTATACAAACCTACCTGTGCCCCTATTTCCAATACTGACCCAAGAATTTGCCTGGGTCTAATGAACAAACAATTTCACCTCCCCTCTAGCTATCGGATGCTCTAAACATGAGGACAGATAAACTTCTTTTTTTTATCATTAGTGGGTGGGAATTTTTGATCTTTATAAATAGAAATTCAAACATATTTATAAATATAAAAAGAAAGGTAAAGCATAGTTAATTTAAACAAGTTTAGGTTTACATGAAAACAAAGTATGCAGGATCTTCCACAGACAAACTAAATGCTTATAATTTAATAATACATTTAATATTCTGAGACCCTAAAATATAATTGTTAAAGGAACAGTATAGGGTCAGGAGCACAAATGTGTACTCCTAATCTTGTAGTGTTAAAAACACATGTAGGGTCCCTGGTCCTCCCTTATCTTCCTTAAATAATGAGAAACGCACCTTATTTCCAGCGCTGCGTGGGTCAGCTGGTGCTGACCCGACCCTGATCCGCCTCCTTGGCTGACATCATGAGAATTGTTTATCTCTGCCAATCACAATGCTTTCCCATAGGAGTGGCCACTGGAGGTGTCCCTAGGCAGTAATGTAAACACTGCCTTTTCTCATACATTTACATTGTTCTATACTCATTAGAACAACTACATTAAAGGGACACTCCAGGCACCCAGACCATTGGAGTGGTCTGGGTGCCAACTCCCACTACCCTTAACCCTGCAACTGTAAATATTGCAGTTTTCATAAACTGCAATATTTACATTGCAGGGTTAACTCCTCCTCTAGTGGCTGTCTACTAGAGAGCCACTAGAGGTCACTTCCAGGTTTATAGCACACATTTTGTGGACATCGGTGCTGGATACAGGTAAGTCACTGAAGGGGTTTTAACCCCTTCAGCAACCTGGGATGGGGGTGGGAGGGAGAGGGGACCTGCAGTGCCAGGAAAACGGTTTGTTTTCCTGTCACTGGAGAGTCCCTTTAAGCTGTATTTGTTCTGGTGACTATAGTGTTCCTTTAATTGTTGGGAATTCAAAGTAAATTTAGAATTTTAGGCCAATATAGCTTAACTGAAAACAGTTTTCAAATTAGCAGTGCTTTCAGTTTAGCTATGTTGGCGTAAAATTTGAATTCCCTAACATGTAAATGACAAACTGACAAACTGATTGTGAAAGGAGTAATTAAAAGTGATGGGTAATAAATTTACTATACTATGCATATACTATATTATATGCTAGCGTGACTGTGAGTGAATTGTCAAAAAGAAACATTCAGAAAATTAAAATTTGTTCCCTATTTCTGTCATTCATTAAATGCTCACATGGTTAAGTCCTAAACTGCAAATTTTGGAATTTCAAATTTAATGCCACAATAGCAGACGTGCGAGCATAGCTGACAGTCATAATTGTTCCAGTTCAACTATTTTGAACTTAAATCTTAAAGGAACACTATAGTGCCAGGAAAACATACTTGTTTTCCTGGCACTATAGTGCCCTGGGGGTGCCCCCACCCTCAGGGACCCCCTCCCGCCCGGCTCTGGAAAAGGGAAAGGGGTTAAAACTTACCTTTTTCCAGCGCTGGACGGAGAGCTCTCCGCCTCCGATCCCCCTCTTCTCGTCCCCGTCGGCTGAATTCGCACGCGCGGTAAGAGCTGCGCGCGCATTCAGCCGGTCACATAGGAAAGCATTCATAATGCTTTCCTATGGACGCTGGCATGCTCTCACTGTGAAAATCACAGTGAGAAGCACGGAAGCTCCTCTAGCGGCTGTCAATGAGACAGCCACTAGAGGAAATAGGGGAAGGCTTAACCCATTCACAAATATGAAAAAATGGGTTAACCCTAACTGGACCTGGCACCCAGACCACTTCATTAAGCTGAAGTGGTCTGGGTGCCTAGAGTGGTCCTTTAAATTTGTATTCTCACTTTTGTGAAGAACCCAGATGTATGTGTCTGCCTTCCGTCAGTATGTTGTGATGCTGTATGTGAATTCTCAGCTCTGCGTGTGCCTCTTGTCCAGTCCTGCAAAAGATACTGTCTCTTAAGAATGAAATACATTTTTTCTATCGTTATTTTAACAGCCATCCTTCATTCATCTTGATATATTGTATTTGGAATGTCATTCACCCAGTGATTGAAAACTGGCTATTACAATAAAAGGTTTATTACCCCTTCACCAGTTGTGATGTCAGCTAAGCACATGTTTATTGCGATGAAGAGTTAAGATTTAAGGGGTTGGAAATTCTTCTATCCCCCTGAGGCTGGCCAGCCATAGGATGTAATAACACACAGCCCTTCACTAGAAACAGACACTGTATTACAGTTCTCTCCAGCCAGTAACTCTGTAGCACAGTTCCAGGGAGCAAGGCAGTAGTCTGCTTCTTGAATTAGATCAGTCAATTGCCCATTCTCCTCTTTGCTAAGATGTTTTCGATTTGGACCACTCTCCTTCTGGCTGGATGTTTGCTGTTACCTTCAGACTCTCAGCCCGAGAACCAAAAAGTAAAGCAAAGATCTCTTCGACAAAAAGACTTGGATATCATAGATAAAGTGAGTTTATTCGAGAATATATTTTATTTGTGTAATTTTTTTTTTTTTTTTATTAAATGCATTATAAAACAACTTTATCAAATTCTGCAGCAAAATATATCTGGTGGAATAGCATGTGTAGCAAATCCCAAGTTTAAAAAGTGAGTTTAAACTGCGTGAGTTTCATTTAAAATTCACAGTGTAGAAGCAGACATTTTTTTTTCTACGTAAATGAATACCAGATGTGGCTTTCACCACTAATTGTTGTCTAGAAACCGTTTTTTGAAACAATAATTCTGTGTCCTGCCCAGAAATTGCAATATTCTTTTTGATATGTTATAACATGATTGCTCCCGTTAACCGTTTGAGTCTAATCGGAAGAGTAAAAATGTACAGGTCTTTGGCATGAAGCAAAACCCAATGTATGCCTATTTTCTTCACTTTGAACTGATATCACATCAAATTCAAAAGCATTGAACGCTTCTCTTATGGATACTGCATTTAAAAAAAAAAAAAAAGAATCTTGCAATTTTATTTTTGTGTATTATTGATATTACTTTTTATTTTCGCGTAGTCTGTCTATCTCTTGCATAAAAGGTTCACCATGTCTTATTGCTTTTCATGACCAAATACAGTTATATGGCAAAGCAAAGAAGACAGCTATTTCATTCACTACTAAATCCGCAGATATGTGCTGTGCTGTAATCTAATTTCTAAGCGGCGACTGATATTTGTTCCTGCTTCTTCTAGGCTTCAATAGTGAGACACAAGTGGTATCTTCTCTTAAACATTTTTTTTTTTGCTTGTTTTTCAATAAAAAAAATACAAGATAGAAGTATGGTGCTCAGCGGCCAACAGAATATCATATTTGTAGACAAAGTATAAATATTTAAAATTTACTGTTTTAGTTATATTCCAGCTCTACCCAAATTATCTGCTGCATGTTTCCATTATAGTGACATTGATGGTACAGACATTGTCCTGACATGGTCATCATGTGGGTCATCCAATAAGTCAGCCTTCCTGTTCTAAAAGAAGATAACCTGGAAACCACCATTGTCAAGGATACTTGCAGGCCAAAACTAAGCCCAATTCAGCCGACCCATGTTGAACTTTTATTACTTGAACTCAGGTGATCTCACAAGCTCAAATTGCTGACCAGTTTATACTATGGAGCAACCTAGAGAAGCATCAGTGTTTAACATTGAACTTGCAAGATCATGGGTTGGTAAGGATACAATGAAACAATACCATAGCAGTGGTAGGCAACCATTGGCACTACAGAAGTTGTGGACAATATTTTAACTGATGCCTTGTCAGGATTCTGGCTACAAAAGTATTGTGGGAGATATAATCCACAACATCAGGAGTGCCGAAGATTGTCAATAGAGCAATGGTTTAAAACGGCACTCATATAACATCAGACCAGATATCGCCTGGAGGTTTCCTTGAAAAGTGATGATTTATGGAACAAAACAGTCATACATGGCAGTAAATTAGACTACATAGGTGCAGACAGGTATTATAAAAAAAAATACAGCAAAATAAGTCTACACACCTTTTAAAAATAGGGGTAAAGAGCAAAAAAAAAAAAACCCCACAAAATTAAAGGATAGCTGGACACTTTGTGTGTCTACTACCAACTCTTCCTAAAACTTCGGTTCGGACAAAACAAATTTATATTTCGCCCAAAAGTTTTCAGACAAACAAAAATTTTGGTGGTGCCCCTACCCAGTAAAAGGAGTTGCGAAGCCCTGTGATTTGACCCATTATGCCATTTCAGAACTGTTTTCTATGGCATCATACGGAGGCAGATTCAGAGTCCAAATTCAGAAGGGACAGTGGATTCAGTAGATACATTCTTTCAAACATAGATACAAGCACTTACAAACATTTTACTTCTGCAATAACATCTACTAAATACGGTTTGGAGTTGGTGTTCGAAACAATTCTGGGAGTCCTACGGATAAGTATTTTTAGATTTGATTCTAGAAGGAATGAAAGTTAGGTGATTGCATTATTTAGTGGGTCATGCACAAGAAAATATGAGGGTGGATATGGAGCAGTACTTTAAATATAGAGTATAAATGTGATAGCTGAGAAATGTCGATTATATAGGAGTTACAGAAATCAAGTCAGATCTTTTCTGAATATAAATGCTGCACATAGTAGATAGATTTTATAACATCTCAATACAGTAGATTTGGACATGTGTAGACAAGATTGTAAATGTTTGATTATTTTGTTTAGTCTATAACTGAAGTGTTTATAAGTTTAGAATGATTAATTTTTGTGAAATAAACATCACTACTGTGAATCAAAAATCTTTTGGCTTGCTGAATAAAAGCTGAAAAGTCGATGCAGTATCCTATTTAAAGCCTCAGAGAATTTGCTAGAAAAGTATATCCTTGGAAAATTCCATAGCTATGAATATATAGAGAAACTGCAACATGTCCTTTGTTCTTTAAAGTTCCCAGAATAAAGTCAGATAAGATATTGAGATGATGCATTTCTTGGTGGACATTCAAGGCCACGTAACCATACACCATGCAATATTTCAACTGCTTTGTGTTGAAAGAAAAATACGTAACTAAGTTATGTACACCAAAATACACTAAGGTATGTACACCAAAATCGGTAACAAAACTAAAGATTGCATAGTTACCTAGTCATATAGGCTGAAAAAAAGACCCCAGTCCGCCATGTTTAGCCTTCCCAACATTTGTTTCTGTGATTGATCATAAATAAGAAATTGAATGTTCCTGCTCACTTTTAGACTTTAGACATTTGCTATTTCTTGAGGTGGTTTATTATGTCAGCATTTAATCCTCTGTAGTGTACCTCCTATAAATAGATTTTATAATGGGATAGAAATTCCTAAAACATGCCTACTCAACATGAGACACTGACCTTGGACTGTGACCTAATATTCCCATTCAACCTCAGGTCCTAGCACAAATTAATATAATTAAAGTCACTGTTATTTATATAGCGTCAATATACTCTGCAGCCCGGTATGGTAGGAAATAAGACAAACATTTAATTGCAACAAAACATGTATGACGTACGGGAACAGTATGATAAAAATAAACTGAAACAAGCTCACAATCTAATACATAGTCCATCTCATCACCTTGTGGCACTAAGGGACAAAGTGGGATACTATATTTTACGAAAACTTCTCCAACCCTGCTATTTTTGCCTAAAACTTGTAGCACCGTTATAAACGTTCATGAATCCCTATAGCTTGCCATTCATACATATATATGTAAGGCAATATGGCAGTTTCAGTTAACTGCTCTCAATGCACTTTACAAGACCATGTTTGTGAAGTGGTTGGCAAAGAGTAGTTTGAGTGTTGCTCTTGAGACAAAATCAGCACTCACTACAATACACAGTGAAAGATAAATAGAATTCTGCCGGTTATTCTCATGAGTCTATACATTCCAAAGCAGTGATTCAGTGGGTGATGACACACAAGGCACATTTGCTAATTGAGCCGCACCACAAATAACCTCATGTTTCAACAGTGGATGCATTTCTAACACTCAGGTTAATTGGCATCGTCACGGTAAGATCATTAGTTGTCTGACAAACAAGTCATTGAAATAAACAAGGAATTTAACAGAGATCTTTATCTCCGATCATTGTAGATCACCCAAGTGATGCACCTTAAACAAATTAATTAAGTATACTGCCAGTAAAGAAATAAATCTGGATTATAGTTAGTTATCTCTCTCTGCGCTAGCAATGTTTACAATCTGAAACCGGTATTAATGACAAATGTAGCTGGTTATTATGTTAAAACAGTGTGGCCATGTGTAGTTTCTTTTCTACACCAAATAGAAAAAAAGACAAAAGAAAAAGGATAAATATGATTTAAATTATTTGGATAAATAATAAAACAGTGGAAAAAAAAAACACATAAATTAGAATAAAATAGAGAGTTAAAAGGATCTCCCCAGCTGGCCCTTGCAGGGCTGACACTGTTTGAGTATCGACCCAAAGACGGGGATCCACAGTGGTGGGAGATAAAAGATCTCCTTCACTGGCCATCCCATTATAATGCTGAGTAGGTAGGAGGAGTAAGCCTTGAAGCTTTGCCGTCTGCACCTCTATCCTGGAAACACTATTAGAGTGTTTCTGTGGGTTACCACGGCAATGCACTGATACTTTTCACAGGTCGTGTGGAAGGAGCTGTCTGCCCCTACTGATGCTGTAGACACTGGGCCACCAAGGTAAAGCATTTCCCCCTCCCTGGCCCAAGCTGAACAAGTGTTAGAAAATGTAATCTTGTTTTATTAATTCAGTTGGCATCATCATTAATTTATTTATTCTTTTTTTAATAACTGCCCATCCACACTATAGACCCTGTCCCTCCCACACTCACATTAGAGCATCTATACACACTCACACACTATAGTCACACACTTCCCCTCACACATACACTGCAACTCCAATCTACACACACCATACAGCCCCTATATATCCACACTCTATACGTCACCTGTACTCTCACAAAAGGCAAACACCATATACCACACCACACACAGCCCTCTGCAAACTTCAATGCAAACAGCACCCTGAACTGGCACAGAACGCCACAAGCAATTTCCCACTCACACACAACTCACAAACAGCATCCCTCTCACGCAACTCTGTAACAAGCAGTATCCCCATACACAAATCTCCGATCAGCCGCCTCAAAAACACACACAACACTAAAGGCTGTCTTCCCACACATGCAGAGCCTCAAGCAGCCTCTCCCTACACATGCATCCTCCAAATGCATATAACACCACTGACAGTGGCGTACATACCGGGGCCCTGCGACTCGGTATGCACGCCAGTGTGGCCAGCCTCTTCTCCTGGGGGGCCCAGGAGCTGGGCACCTCAGGGCCCCCCGAGGCTGGCCCTGGTGTCACCGGGTGGCCGGTCCTGCGGGTGCGCGAGGGAGTATGACATCATATTCCGGCTCCGACATCAGTACACGGGGCGAGGGAGCTGGGCAGAGAGTGCTCAGGGGAGAGTGCTCCCTCGCGCGCCCGCCAGCCAGACAGCCCACCTGGTGACCCGCCGCCCAGTAGCACCACTGGACCCCAGGGAATCCCCTCAGCTCTCCCAAAGGTAAGATTTTTTTAAATTTAAAAAAAAACATGTGTATGTGTGTTAGTGTGAGTTTGTGTGTGTTAGTGTGTGTCTGCTAGTGAGTGTCAGTGAGTGTGTTAGTTTGTGTCTGTTATTGAGTGTGTGTCTGCTAGTGAGTGTCAGTGAGTGTGTTAGTTTGTGTGTCAGTGAGTGTGTTACTGAGTGTGTTTGTGTGTGTCTATTAGTGAGTCTGTTTGATGTCTGTTAGTGTGTCTGAGTCTGTCAGTGAGTATGTATGTATGTCGCTGAGTGTGTCTCTGTCAGTAAATGTGTGTGTCTGTTAGCTAGTGTGTATGCATCTGTGAGAGTGTGTGTGTTTAAAACCCCTTCAGCACTTTCTCCAGCACCAGACTCCCTTGGCGCTGGAGATCCCTCCGCCCCGATCCGCCTCTCAGCAAGAGCCGCACGCGCGATGTTGGATGTAACTGACGAATGGGTTTACTCATGAAGTATGGTTCAAGACATACATTGAGGGCCAGGAGACCCTTTCAGGACCAGAAAGCTGGGAAACCTCTGACCCTTTAATGCCTGCAGATTCAGAAGACTGGTTATCTCCCACATCTATTTCAACAGGGTACTCGACATCTCCTGGCCTTCAAATTCCCCTTTAACTGACAGCCTACTTGGTGGAGGAAGAGGTAGGGGCTTTAATGGACCCTAAGTTTAATTACTTATTGGGGAGAAACAGAGCCTCTCTATCTAATTACATGCCGGGGTCTTGCAGACCTCAGCATGTGGTAATTGTTAGCTTTCAATGCCATAGAGAAGAGCAGTTCATTAATCAGGATCTAATTGTGCAAAAAGAGAGAAACTGCTGAACAGGAAGCAAGGTGAATGAAGTACAAACAAAAGAAGGCTTTTCAAGGAAAAAAAGCAGGCCCAATATATTCAAGATGACAAATGTAAGCTTCCCAACTGTCCTGCCTTCAGTGGGACAATCACAATTTCAGGGTCCTATCCCACCATCTCGATTTTGTCCCACATCCGGGGAAACTCTCCTCATGCAGCACAGCTCGAGTGCATCATTAGATGTGCAAGCGCTGTGACGCGGGCACTGGGAACATACACTTCAGCCATGCCTTTTGCACGGTCGTGTATGTAGGGGCCACTCGGGAGTCTGACTGTGAATCTAGTGTCAAGTGTCAGTGGGTGGTCTCTTTTACTTACTAGCTGGCCTGGGATTTATAGGCATCACCAGTGACGCAAGTTACATTACCAATGATGCCCCTAGGTAGGGCTGCTCCTCTACATGATTCCACCCCATCACAAAGTTGGTTGATATGCAAATAGACATGTGATCTAATATATGTTTACAACATATGAAACAGTTTTGGGCAAGAAGGGGACTCTGACTAAATAGTTTCTAAACTAAGCCATTGCTTTGAGATTAGAGAGCTTGGAGACATCACTCATCACCGTGGTATTAAAATGGAAACAGAAGATGATGGGAGTTACCAAGTCAATCAAAGTCAGAAGATGACTGATATACTACATGGCTTTGGTATGCACGATGTAAGAGAAGCAAAAATAACTATGTAACTCAGTCACCAAATAAATAATGAAACCGAGAATCCATTACCTAACAATAATCAATTTTGCAAGAAAACTGAGGAATTTCTACTCACAGGTAATGTTACAAGACCATATATTGCTACAGTTGTAGCACACTGATAAAGGGACTGGAATGCTGTAACATGGGCCCTGCAGTACTTAAAAAGCACAATCCAAATTAAGTTATGACTGCCAGCAGTTTTTAATCCAAAATTAATCAGATTTGTAGGTACTGAGTGATCCAGAGACACCTGTGAACTAGAGTGGTTACAACTTTCAGTATGAAGAAGAAAATACCCAGGCCAGTTCATTCCAAAGTAAGCCACTGTTACACCTTCTTCAGCTGAAACATGTACACAGCAGGAACTGAAGTGCTCAGGATATTTGGATCTCTAAACTTTGGATTGGACATGTCAAATTCAATATCAGTTCTTGATTCCAATCAAGTTTGAAAAGCAGAAAAAGGGAACTGGCTCACTGAAATAAGGTAACTGTGTGTGTGCTAACAAGGCCTCCTTCAACAACAGAAACTTAAAGATAAGAAATGCTGCAACACCAGACTTATATTGATAGGAGAATTTTATTCTACTAACAGTGGACTTGGGTCCAGTTTTGGTGGAATAAAATTCTTCTATCAATATAAGTCTGGTGTTGCAGCATTTCTTATCTTTAAGTCAATCAAGATTGAGAGGATCAGTTCCAGGATCAATTCAAGAAACTTGCAAGAACAAGGAGGTATTGTGAAGGAATGTCCATATGAAGAGATGACTGCATTCACCATTTCCGAGAGTTCAACATTGCAACTACAGAAAAATACAGCAGTAGGTATGCTGTTGAGAAGGAGTTTTGGAGTTGTAAGATCATTGAGAGTGTTTGGGAGATGGAGATATATACATCTCTCCAAGTATTTATTTCTCAGGCTCTGCCTCTTCTTCTCAACCTCTCTCTGTTGATGTTCTCTAAAGTTCGGTCCTTGGTCCCATATTGTTCTTGGTCTAAACTGCCTCCCTTGGTAAACACATCAGCTCATTTGACTTCCACTATCATTTCTATGCAGATGACATGTAAACCTAGCTGTCCTCTCTTGATCTCTCCCCGTCCCTCTTGACTCATTTCACTGGCTTCCTCTCAGCATTTTCCAACCTGTTGGCTGCCCACTTTCTTGAACTTAACCTGTCTAAAACAGAACTTCTGTTCTTTCCTCCCTAAAGTGTTGCTACTCCCGTGTCTGTCTGTCTCCAAGTTAACGGTGCTACCATCAGCTCTACCTCGCAAGCTCGCTGCGGCAGGATTTGACAGTCAACTGGACATGACTCCTTCACCCCTCATGTCCAGTCGACTGTCAAATCCTGCCGCTTCCATCTCAAAAACATAGCACGCATCCTCTCCTTCTTAACGCCAGATGCAGCTAAGTTGTGGATCCATGCTGCTATCCTCTCTCGCCTTGACTACTGCAATCCGCTTCTCTCTGGTCTTATGTGCAACCAACTTCCCCAACTACAGTCTATAATGAATGCCGTGTCGAGGCTCATCTTCCATGCTTTCTCCTGTCAGTCCCTGTATTTGCTTCCCATAGGCAGGGCCGGACTAAGAAAATTTTAATCACAGCGGCCCACTAAGAAGGGGACGAAGCAGAGAGGGTGTGTTTTGTCATCACCAATGACAAGCATGCCCCCTCTCAAAGTGAGCATGTTGGTTCAATGCTCTTCCAGGGCAGACCTGGGCTGAGCTCTGCTGAAGAGCTCTAGCATGAGAAAAAGTCCCTGTATTTGTTCTGCACAGCTTGCGCTGTGTTTCCTTGCAACTTGTCTCTGGTGTCTTTATAAATGGGATGCCAGGAGACAAAAGGGCCAGGAAAGCATATTGTGCATGTGTTTGGAGCCTGCTTGTGGGATTGCATGTGTGTAGAGTGAGCTGATTGTGGTGTGATATTGTGTAATAAGGTCGGTTTTAGTTGTGTCAGGGGAGCAGTGTTTGTGTGAGGGGTGCTGATGTATATATATATATATATATATATATATTTGGAAGTATTGTGTGTGTGTGTGAGTGTGAGTGGTGCAGTGTGTTGGTGGGGTTCTGTGTGAGAGGTGCAGTGTGTGAGTGAAGGCTGCAGTGGGTATGTGTGAGGGGTGTAGTGAGTATGTGTGTGTTTGAGGGGTGCAGTGTGTGTGGGGGGTTGCCGTGTGTTTGTGTGTGTGAGGGGTAAAGTGTGTGTGTGAGAGGGGTGCAGTGTGTGAGATGGATGCTGTAAGTGTGAGGGGTGAAATGTGTGTGTGTGTGTGATGTGTGTGAGGGATATTTATTTGTACTAATTAAATAGCTTTAAAAAAAAGCCAACATAGTATTTTCCATAGAGTCCTTTACACTTAAGAACCAACCATGGCATGTCATGCCATGTGTGCAGTAGAGCTTGCAACTTGTTGTTCAGGCCTTTGCACAGGCATTCAGGGATAATTAAATACTATGTCTCTCCAGCTTATTAATTGGTGATGGCTTCTAACTTTGCAGCAGAGTCCTTAACTGAATCTTTACATATGTTTAAGTCATTTGGCAACACTAAGTAACTGCTCTGTTTTCTTTCATTGCAGACATACCTCTATGTCTACGTAACGCATGCAGTGAATTGGGAATGACTCGATGTGCTTAGATTGATACTTTTTGGCTCTTTGTGTTAGAAGTATTTTTTTGGCAGCCACAAACCACATTTTCTATTCAGTTCTCTGGCGCATATACAGATCCTTTCATTATTTCACAGTTTATTGATTCACATTTTCCAAATGATGGTTTTCAAATCCACAACCCGGGGTATTTCCTCCAGGCTCTCTTATCCAGGTTAAAATCAACAAACTCTAGGAAGCATGACGAAGGAAAATGGTGAAGCCAGCCTTGTGCGTTTACATTGGCATGGCTAATGCACATCTGACCAACCCAAGGAGAGGTTGTGGTCAGTCATTTTAAGTTACATTTGTAAGGAGTACTCAGATACAGAACACCTTATAGCTGACTAGATGAATCCTGGTCTGTTTCTTTATTACTTATGTATATTGGGTAAACCAGGGAAGGTCTGGCATCTATTGGCCTGGAAGCGGGGCAGGTAAGGACAAACAAATGGCCTTTTTGTGCACAGAACTCACAGATCTCGATGTGAACATTGTATACACATGGTGCATGCAGCATTTAGGCTTGACAGATTGAGGCTGCTGGAGTCATGTTGTGTGACATAATATGTCCCTGCAACCTCCATGAGTATGATCCGAATAGCATTAGCTTTTACACAGATCTGATCCCCTCGAGTAAACCTCTGTTTGTGTTGGAACAACTGCAAAATCAAAAAGGTGATGTATAATTAAACAAGCACTGGTGTAGAACATAAAAAATTCAGAAGGGGCATTTAAAAAAAATAATAATTCAGGAATCATACAGTTAATATTTAAATACATAGTTTTGTGGGGAAAAAAAAAGTCAAATAATACAGTTATTTTTCCTTTCATTGCCACTCAATGGTGTTGTGTAAGATTAACTACTTATTGCAGCATGCCTTGCATCCACAGGTTTCTTATCCTAATTAACATTTAAACTCAGGCTTAGCCTGAATTAGGAATCCAATTATCAATTTTATAAAGTAATCTCTCATTTTTTTACTTTTTTATTTTTATTTCATTTAGGTTTTCAAAATAATGGGAAAGATAAAGAAAAGATGGGGGGAAAAAAACAATAAGGGGGAGAACGTAAATAGGGGGAACAATTTTGCCATTTTCCAAGGAACAATAGTGGATTCAATGTTTCATATTTAACTTAAGTGATAACAAAACAAACACATTTTGGGAAAAAAATTGGAAACGCATTTTACTAAGCTAACATCAAATCATGCTTTGTAAACATGCCAGCATTATAAGGGTTAACTCCAATAGGTTAACTCTCATTTTCTATGCATTTCAATAAACCTAGATACAGTAGCAATACTTAGAAAAAGAGATTGTTGGCCAACAAGTAACCTTTCTGAAAACCGACAATCAAGCGCCATACAACCTAAAATAGCTCTGCACAAAGCCAACATAAGAGGAAAATTGCAATGGACTTGCACACAAATTGGTACTTTTTATATTGCATAAAATGACTGTGATTAAATATAAGTATAATTATATACAATGTTGGTGATAGTTTAAAACATGGGTAAGTGGCCTTCATGAATATGCTTGATAACATAGACCAGGCAATGAGCTATTAAGAACTCCATAAGGAATAATGAAATGAATGGCAGGAGTGAATGAATTCCATTGTGCCTAGACACATAAAACATGTCTAATATCTTTAACATTTTCTTTCACTTGTCTGTAGTTCATGGGATATAAAAGGGATACCACATGTTGTAAATTGCCCTCCATTTTCAAAGTGATCTGGGTGCAGCTATCAAATTGTATTGAAGTATAAGAATTACTCTTTTTGGTTCCACTCCACCTTGCCAAATATTCTGAAATTAAGGGCTCTGTTGCTTTGGCTTAATGAAGCATTTTCAGTGTATAGATGATGCCCCTGCAATCTCACTGCTCAATTCTCTGCCATTTAGGAGTTAAATCATTTTGTTTATGCAGCACTAGTCACACCTCCCTGCCTGTGACTTACACATCCTTTCTTAACACTTCCTGTAAAGAGCCATATAATGTTTGGACTTCCTTTATTGCAAATTCTGTTGAGTTAAGACTTTTTTTATCTCCTGCTCTGTTAATGGGATTAAAGTTTATTTTCCAGTGAAGGAGATAAAAACTTTTAAAGTTACATCTGACTGAAACTGAAACTCTTTTGTTTTCATGCAGGCTGTGTCAGTCACAGTCAGGGGAGGTGTAGCTAGGGCTGCATAAACAGAAACAAAAGTGATTTAATTCCTAAATGGCATAGAATTGAGCAGTGAGACTGCAGGGGCATGAACTATACACCAAAAATGCTTTATTGAGCTAATGTTTGTGACTATAGAGTCTCTTTAAACAGGCTGGTAAGGTGAGATAAGTACCAGGAACCTTGGCCATTGTTCCCTGTAATCCAGTCAGTCTTAATAGCAGACTTGCAGAAACAGTTATGGAGGGTGCAAAGCTCTGTCTCAGCTCCTCCAGTGTCTGTGTGTGAGTCTGGACAGGAAGTGGAAGGGATCACTTCCCATCTGCCCACTAACAGCCTCTCACACAGAAAGTTCCTTGCAGGAGAAGCAGGGCAAGCTCTGAGTGATGCACACTGTATAACAGCTCCCGCAGCTCTAATATCATCAGTGTGCCTGAACTACAGTAGTCATAGAACGGGGAGTACTTTATAAATAACCCTTCAAACTGCAGCACTCAAAGCCTAAACCTGAAAATAAACCCTTTACTTTTATCTTATGTGTACAACCTCTTAAAAACTAAACACCTCATGTACAACAGTACAGAATTTAACGTATTCTAGCCCTAAATTCAATAATCCTAAACAGCCCTTATATTTTAATTACACTCCCTCAAGATGTTAATCTTCTTATCACTAAACACCCTATAACATTATCTTTAACTATGCACGCATTGCACACTTGCATACACTCACTACACTCACAGATTCACATAATAAGAACAGATTACAAGCAGAATGGAAATATGCAAATACTTTTATATATATTACATTTTCAGATATGAATTTTAGATGTTTTAGGCCTGCAATGTTCAGTTAAAATATTCATTACACATACTTTATCTGCCTTATTTTGAGGTTGGGGAGTAGGGGGGGCCTTAGAATGTTGAGCCTACAGGCTCCTGACATGTAAATCCAGCCTTGACCACAATCACACTGCTCAATGTGAGAGGTATGCAACTCAGCCATAGTCAGAATGGCTCTTTTAACCTGTATTTTGTAATTCAGTTAGTAACCCCTGACATTGCATATACTGTATCTGCCCTGGGCAGATGTTTATACAACTGTTTGACTTACAAAGAAAATAAAATGACTCAAACAAATTGAAATATGTCATGCTTAAATTAGCATGTTAATGCATTTCATATACACAAAAGTCAATAACAAAATTATATATAAGTATATGTTAGCACTCCAGTAAGGGTACCACAATCTTTTTTATTTTTTTTGGCATAATTAGAAATCTCTACAAATTAGGTTTTTGGCTTTTTTTTGCCATCTTTTGGATCAACAGCATAAAATAATGGGTTTCAAGGGTTATACTTGGAGGATTGTAGTATTTTCAACCCTGATTTCTATGTAACTATGTAAGTGAAATTCATAAATAACCGTGTAAGTGTTTATGTGAATATTTGTCCAGAGAGCATTTTTTGCAATACGTACTGCTGAGCAGAGTGAAACACTGCCATCTACTGTCAATTACTGGCATTGTTGTAGTATGGATAACATACTGATGGAGATTTCCTAATTATTATTATTTTATTATTTATATAGCGCCAGCAAATTCTGTAGCTCTGTACAATGGGTATAATATTGCTACACACATTCCTGTTTATATTTCCTAATATTGATACACACATTTCCCGTTCTTGTTTTGTCTGTATTGCTCATGCTGCTTCACCTTGAATCTTTGCAGTATAATGGTTTATGTGTGCAAGGACCAATGGGTCTTCCAGGTCGAGATGGAACTCCTGGAGTGAATGGAATCCCCGGAACTCCTGGAATTCCAGGTCGTGATGGAGCAAAGGGAGAGAAAGGAGAATGCATGAGAGAGAGTATAGAAGAGTCCTGGACCCCCAACTTCAAGCAATGTGCATGGAACTCCCTGAACTATGGCATAGACCTTGGGAAAATTGCCGTAAGTAATAATTTAGCTATGACGTCTACTAGATATTATTACATAATGTGACGGGCTCCTGCACTCTGAGTGAGTTCCTCTATTTATATTTTTCTGCCCACCTCCCCTTATCCATTGGCTTATTTTAGTTTTTCTGCTATCATTAAAGCGGCTATGTCAATTTTTTTAAAATTCTTTGGACATGTTGAAATCTCCCCCTTCCCCCAGGCAGCTCCATTTCTTAGTAGTGAATAATTTTTAAGCTATACATAAGGAAAAGTGGAGACTACTTTTCTTTATCTATAACCTCCAGGTTGACAAAAGTTGACAGAGGGTGAAACTTTGGTCTAGCTCCTCGTGCTTTGTCAACTTTTCTCATTGCTTTTCAAGTTCTTACTCACTTCCTTCCTGAGTCGTGTCACTTCCAGCAGTGACGTGTCATCAACTGCCTATGTGGACAGTCAATGTACTGGGCATGCATGTAATATCATACGCACGCCATTGGAAGGGCAGAGAAAGTTGTTTCCAGCTGTTTTCAAAATGGCGACACAGATGGAAGAAAAGGTGACTTGCACACTTGCACTGGTCCAGGGGCCACTAAAAATGACACTAGGTCTCACACTTCACTTGTTGCAGCCTGGCTGGGTTCACAGGGCCACAAAGTAACAATTGACAACTTAGCCTTCTCCTCTTTAGAGTGATCTAACTATTCTGCTGGCTGCAGCAGTGCCAGTGGCGTGATACGTGACGTTTAGGTTTCTCAATCTTCCATCTCCCCCTTCCTTTTTCCATTACCAATTAATACTGTAATAAATATTCTTGTTATGCCGGTACATTGTATTTCTTTACTTTCTCTTAGGAATGCACATTTACAAAGATGCGTTCACACAGCGCATTACGAGTTGTCTTCAGTGGGTCCCTGCGTCTTAAGTGTAAGACGGCATGTTGCCAACGCTGGTACTTTACATTTAATGGAGCCGAGTGCGCAGGTCCACTTCCCATTGAAGCCATCATCTATTTGGACCAAGGCAGCGCAGAATTCAACTCCACCATTAACATTCACCGAACATCCACAGGTATGAGTCAGAGGTGATCTTTGAGAATAATTAGAATTGTATTTAGCTCTAGGGATGCATATTTTTTAGTCTACTGCGCTTCAGGAAATAGCTCCACACATTGCAGTGGCAAAAAATTAATCAGTTGCCAGTTTAGCTACTCCTATATAACCTTGTTTTGCTCTTCACAATTTGAATACTAAAGTTTATTCTATTGGGTTTTCAGCATTTTAATACAGAAGTCAAATAGAACATGGCTCAAAACTATCAATTTTTCTCTAGTATGCCAAATTTATTAGATTTACAAATGATTAAATCGACAAGTCTGTTTTGTTTTTTCTAACTAGTAAGATGACAGTGACTCAATGTAATAATTCCTACAAATTACTATTTGTCTTTTTTAATTTAGGAATAATATTGTACCGTGTACTATAGATTTAACATTTGCTGCACAGTTTTGTTTTTATAAACCTGAATGTTGACCTGCCATTGTGGATTAGGTAAAAAAAGAAAAGCGGGATTAAATAAAAAAGTTGGAAGGACCCTAGGAATTGTATAAAAATGTTCACAATTGGCACACAACTTTAATATTCATTGTTTTTTTAAATCCCTACTCTCCCCTGGCTGGCATGGAGTGTGCGCATGCACTCTGAGCTGGTGAAATGGTCCAATCATAGGCTTATTTATGAAAAGCCTATGATTGCACTGCGTGTGGCCCCAGTGACATCAGGAGGGAACACATAAAAGTAGCGTCAGGGGCTTCGCCCAGTGCTGGATTCAAGGCGATTAAAACCTGCTTTTTTTAAAGGGTTATAATAACCCTTTAAATATTTTATAAAAAGGAGAGTGTAGAATATAGACAAATGTAGATATTAACAGTGTCGTTAAAAGGTTTAAGATGTTTTGTTAGAATGTTAGGACTATAGAATGTTCCACTAATTGCATCTGTAGTATCTTTTTTTTTGTGAGTGTGGTTAGCTTGGGCCTCAATATTTTGAGTTTGTATCATACAGCTTTAATTTCTTGATCATTCTTCGATAATAAAATGTTTTGCCTGACTGAATGTATGTTCCAGAAGCAAAATCAGCTTATTGATCAAATTTAATTGATGTAATTGAAGATGTCACTTCTACCAACTTGTCATGATTAGCATGAGAATATGAAAGCTATCTGTGACAAATTAGGTGTCCTGCAATTGTATTTGTGTGCAAAATGTCCACTTGCTCCTGCTTTGTTAATGTTACCACTGAACTCTGAGATCTACTATTAAACCCCTTTCTTCTAAATTTCCTGTGTTCTAGTGGAAGGTTTGTGTGAAGGTATCAGTTCCGGACTTGTGGATGTGGCAGTTTGGGTAGGAACCTGCGCGGACTACCCAAGAGGAGATGCATCTACTGGATGGAATTCAGTATCTCGGATCATCATTGAAGAATTGCCAAAATAAACAGTATATTTTAGATTTTGTATGAAAAATTAAAGATTTGAAAAAAATCCCATGGGCAGCAAATATTACCTCTTTGGATAATCAAAAGAAGGTAACAGTGAACAAAATCGTTTTCAACATACTGTATTATAGAAATAAAAGTGTTTTTGTGGATTATGTAAGTATTAATGATTAACGGGAATCTACTAAACGTTATTTTGTCTACATTTAAAAATTTTAGATTTAACATCATATTAAACTTTAAAGTAGATTGACCACTAAGAGTTTGAATAAGGTTTGCTTGAGGCAACAGAATTGAATCCATGTATTTATTGGCAAATTGCCAGCAAATATGGAGGTAAAATAAATATTCTTACAACCTTTTGCTCAGAAACAGTTAAATGTTAACACGAAAGACAATAGATTCCGTTTGACGCGGTCCATGTACCAATATACAGTCTTGATGCGCACTATATAAAGCTGACATCTAGTCGATTGCAGGACAATTGAAACTTAGATCCTCAGCTGAAAATGTATTGGGAAAAAGTAATGATAGTTACCATATTTGTGTTTCTTTAGTTTGGATGTTTGCTAAAGTAAGATTTTAATGTGAATTTCAAATTTAAAGCCAGAATTGAAAGAATAGCCAACTTTGAGAATTGTAAAAGTTTGGCTATTTTGATCTTAAATTTAAAATCCATTTTGAATCCTCACTTTTAGTGAATAACCCCAATAATGTTAAGTCATTCTGAACCATTGAAGGTCAGAACTGTTTGCAATCGTTTTTTAAATTTTTTAATAATAAAAATAATTATAAACAGACAATATACATCTTTTTTCTTGAAATACACCACTCATGGCTGGAAGCTTTGTCACTGGTCCTCATTGATTTGAGCTTTATAGTAATTAACCATTCACAGATTATTCTTCTACAAAACCTTTCCCAAGAAGCCTAAATATAAAACCTTACCTGGTCTATTCATACCAAACCAGGAATTGTGGAGAATAGACAATGGGCTTGCAGTTTTAAGCCAACATGGCAATATGAACCTATAATTCATCAGAGATGTTGATCCAGAACCTTGACATAGGGCAGCGTTCTTCAAACAGATCTTCAGGAATCTGGAACTACCAACGTGCCATGATAAAAAAAAGACAGTCACTAAACTCAAATTAAAGGAGGGATATAATATTTGGCCTGCATTCAGTATGGTTAAACCCTCTCAAATCGTCCCCACAGACTGCAACTGAAGAAAATACCAAAATAGATGAAACGAAGCAGTGTTCCCTGTTTCTCAATGGAGGGTTGCTGAATTCTACTTGAATTCAGTGAGGCTGGTTAGCAAATAGAGTTAACTTGGCAATCTGTGTATGTGAAGTTCTACCTGAATTCAGATGAAGGAAAGCCCGGCAGACCTGCTTTTGAGTTTCAATGCATTATCTACCAAATACAGATGTGTTAAAAAAAACAAAAAAAAACAGTCAAAAGTAATAAACTGAGCAAACACAATAACAACCATCTGACTCTTTAAAGCTAGGGTTACATATGACTTGTTACATATAGGTAATATGAGACTAGGGACATTCAAAGCACCCTAATCACTTCCTCATATTGTAGTGGTTCTGGTACAAGTAGTCTTTGTTTGCATTCCCTGCAATGTAGTGGTTATGGAGGCAGGAGTACACTACCACCTCCTCCCACCCCCCCCTTCAGTCTAAGTAGTCAAATGGTTTAGAACAGTTTAAAGTCTTACCTGCGGTCCGCAAGGAGCAGCTCTTGCCTCTTCTTTTTCGCACTGAAGACCTTGAAGCTCCTGTGGTGTGCTTCCATTATCCCCTCTGAGATAAACCCTAAAGGGCATGGCCAGCTTTTTTATACTGCTTTGCAAAACCCCAATGTTTACATTGCAGTTCTAACAACTCCTCTAGTGGCTGTTACAGTGTGAATGTGCGTGTGGCACTCGCACCGCATGCACATTAGGTACTCAATGATCCTTTATGAGAAGCATTGGATTAGACCCTCACAATTTTGTGTATAGATTGCTTGTCAAACTTAAAATGTTGTACATGTTGTTCAATGTTGATTTTTCACTTATTTGTTCAGCCTTCATAAAAAAAATTTGGGAAACAAAAAGACTCAGTATACAGTGTCCTTGATCTGGTCATATTTCACAAAAATGTCTAAAATGTTAGCATAAAAGCTCAAATGCAAGGTTTCTCACATACAGTAGGTGTGACGGAAATCGATAGCTAAAACGGTCAAATACCTTGCTTACAGGTATTCATAAATACTCCGCATTTCTAACAGTACAGATTGCAAAAACAGCAACAGAATATTAAAAGAATGTCTCTGAGTAGAATGCCCACATACAATAAATACAGTTAAATCATATATTTTTACAATAAAGGTAATTTAAACGGTTATAGCATTGTATAAATCACTGGAATGCTCATGTAATAAAATATAGAGAAATGGGAGAGCTCATTCACTCCTCCCTGACTGCAGGAAAGATATGTGCCATTAAATCTTCCTTTACTCTTTGAAAGGCGGGGGCAGCAGACAGGTAATCATTCCTAGCGTATAAATAAGGGTGAGTGAGGCTTTATGGACTGAATTTCATTCTTCAAAACACGATAGTAAAACCTTTATACCAGATTGTGGAGGTGAATTAATTAAGCACTAAGGCTAATTATAAATATAAATTATATATTGCATTGTTTAATTGAATACTTGCCTCCTCTCCAGCATAGTCATGGACACCATCATCCAACCTCATGGGTGCACAAGTCCCCTCTGAGGGCAAGTAGATCAGTGGTTCCTAAAGTAGGGTTCACCTCTCCTGTTAAACTACCACACCAGTTCCATAGTTTCATTGCCAGCACATCACCATATGAACATGTGTCACTGGTTTTATAACAGTATACCACGGGTAGGCAATCTCTAATAAAGTGTTATAGACTACATTTCAATAGCGCGCTCTCCGATACTTAAAGGGATACTATAGTGCCAGGAAAGCTGTATTCCTACCACTATCACCCCCTTCCCTGGTAAATAAACTCTTTATTTACTTACCTGAGCCCAGCGCCAATGTCCCAGGGTCAAAGCTCCTCCTCTGTCCTGTGAAGAGCGGCGTCTAATGCGAATGCACGGCAAATACTGCACACGCATTAGAACTCACAATAGGAAAGCATTAAATCAAAGCTTTACTATGGGAAAAATCTGACGCTGGAGATTCTTATGCAGAGCGGGAGGACATTCAGGGTCAGATACCAGACCAAAGGTCCGTTTCAAACCAGGAAGCCCTCTAGTGGCTGTCTGTTAGACAGCCATTAGAGGCTGACAGTGCTGCAATGTAAACACATAATTATACACAGAAAACAGAAAGCCCAGATCATTATGTTACAGTTGCCATTCAACAGAATAAAAAGGTTTTTGGACCTGCTTTCATTTTACGGAGTATTCTAAATCAGCAAAGTGTAGGAGGAGCCTGACAATTCTATTATGTACAATTTACAAAATGCATATCAAGAGGATGAGAATCATTCATCGATTGTAAGCAGAAACTCTTGTCTTTGTTATATCCTGCATGTAAATTACTTGTCAAATATCCCCATTTTATAGTTGTAAAGCGCTGCAGAATATGTTGGTGCTAATTAAATGATGCCGATAATAATAACAGGAATTAGATTGCAATGTAGTACCAAATAAGCAATGCATAGGTTTATTGGCAATGGGCTGAACACAAAACAGCCATCATATCTATTGCCTTGAAATTTACTTTCAAAGCTACTTGTAAACTGCAAGTTATGCAAAGTAGTTAAAAGAACTGAGGTGTAGAAAAATATCCTCAATAATTCATTGAAAATAAAAATATTATTTAACTTACAAATTCAAATTTAAAGCATTACACCAAACAGAAAAGAAAAAAATAAATAAAACAGAACTATTGTTTTAGTCTAGAGGTTCCCTTTAAATTGTGAGTTAAATTTAAAACAGAAGAACCATTCAAGACTTTTTTCACAGTCAATCATCCTCAAAATATGTTCTTTCCGGCTCAACTTCCACGAGTGACGCTTTACGGCAGGTCAGGTGATATCGGTTTAAAGTGCGTTGAAAGAAGCTTTTGTTTCACTCTTTAGGTTTTCTCAAGTCAAAGAGGAAATGCGACACTTTCTCAAACACCACGAACGTTATGCAGCAAGCCGGCGTGACTCTAAGTATGTTAGGAATGAGTCCTTTGTAAAGTCCATGAACTCCTTCTTTCCTTTAAAGACAGCGGGAAAAGAGAAATAATCTTTAATGATGTGGTCAGGACAGAGGTTCCCAAACCAATGCAAACTAGTAGCAGACGCAGTCCACAGCATTTACAAACCATGTTCCTCAGATTGATAGACATTTAAAAAGACACTCCAGGCACCAACAACACCGTTATGTCTTTTATAGCTTTTAGTCTTACTTTTTTTGTATAGGTTTAGGGGAAACTAAAATCTTCATCATTGCCCTGAACCCTCCTCCGCCCCACCTCTCACATTCTAAAACACATCCTCTTTGCTGATTGCTAATGTGACCAGAAGCCCAAACTCTCTGTACTTGCAGTGTTTTTACACAGTTGTTAATGTGACCAGCAACTATAGTGAGAGTTTTAGGGAGTTGTGCTGTACTTATCTACAATTTCCATCATTTATGAAGCATCCTAACTGGCTGATCAGCAAAATAATGCTAGGAAATTTGTTGAAAAAAATGAGCATATTTAATTTTTTCACATTTAATTATTGGTGCTTCTTGCATATTTTTTTTAATGTATTATCTATATAATATATTAAAATGCCATTTGTGCTCATTTTAAAGAGAATACAAATCACATCAATACATTCTGTTTGTAAAATTGCTAAGAAATGTATAGAATGGGAGAAAATCAAAACCTTTCGTCCACCCACCTGTCAATCAATTCTTTGGCACAAAACTAACTGACTGACTGGGAGAAGAGGAGACAATTCCTTCAGGTGGTCCTCCTGCTCTATGACACAGCAACCACTGCGCACACAGTGGTTGCTATGGTTACTCCTCTTGCCAGTACTTCTTGCTCTAGAAGAGTATATGAACGGAGTGACTTATGTCCGTTCAGACACAGGCATGTCAGCAACATGGAAGACACTTCCACAAGCAAGGCAAACCAAGTCTAAACGTAGGCAGAGCGCAGTATTTTCAAAAAAAAAAAAAAAAAATTATTAAAATGACATTTGCCTCTTTCATACATTTTAATTGCATGCTTCACTCAAAAACAAAAGCAGGTTCATACCTCCACGTCCTGCTTATTACATCTATGACTCCGTTGTACTTATTGTGCTGATCTTGTAGCCGGGCGCGAACCACTTGATAAGGGTATGTCGTCGTGACAGCAAATATTTTAGACAGTGCAGCCATGGTTATATATTCCACAGTGCTCTGCAATTAGAAAGGAAAAAAATAAATTATATATTGATAATTATTGGTTCACGGTGAAGGAAAACAAACATTTGCTCAAAAATCGGTAAGGAAAGATGTACATTTGACCTAAAATGAATAATACAACACTTTCATTTCTCATCTCACCATCTGACAATAAATAACTCATGTTGTTCTTTGTCAAAGGCAGAAATGGAAATCTGCAGACATTACGTTTTTCACAATACTTTTTTCTAACAGCTAATAACATGAATGAAAACACAACAGAAAATACTGTAATGCACCACAGATGGTTAAGCCTTGACATGGGAGATGATGAAGACAACAATTCCCAAGATGCTAAACCAGAGGCAGAATTAAAAATGTTGCTTCAACTGCTTCAGGTCCAGTTATCACTTTCGTAACGTCATTGCTTTCCACAACAAGTCTACATCAATTTTGGCCGTTTTACTCAACACCAAAGGAAATGCAGTCTTCACCATCTCAAATGCCAAAGGTAAGCAGTCACAGTTCTAACATCGCTGGTTTCAAAGCCCACATCTAAGGATGGACATCCAACGAGAACAAAATGAAAGCTCTTCTTTACTGTGCTTAAAAAAGAAAGATAAAGGAGCATCTGGCAAAAATAATTTTCTGGCACTACAGAAGATGCTCTAATTTGTTACCATGTGAATCAGAGAGTATATGTGAGCTAATATGTGATCAGACGGCAATAAATGAGAGTTCCAAAATCAGTAAAATGGCTTTAGGAACCCCTTTAAAGGACCACTCCACACCCCAAAGGCACTTCAGCTTGTTAAAGTGCTTTACGGGTGTGGATTATCCTATTTAACTCCAGTTTATAAAAGGTGCCGATTTCTATGAGAAATTATCTGTCAGACAGCCAGGGAGCAAGGGCACCAATTCAGAGTCTTCTCAATGAGAGGTTATGAGAATGGTTATTTCCCTGTGAAGACACAGACTCTTTCAGGGAAAAAATAAATAAATAAAAAAAAGAAGGAGGGCTAGCTAAGGCTACAGTTCATAATTGATTGGTAATGTATCTACAATTAAAAATGATTATTTTTTTTGTCCATTTGAAGTGCTATATGGATGAACTCACTTGAGTGATATCAATAATGTAATCATAACACCATACTATGCCTGCATTCAGGTAACATGATGACCCCCGACCCTGGCTATTACAAACAGCTCTCACCCTCCTACCTCTATCTCTTGTTTCGAGTAGAGGTTGCAGTTTTAATACACATGTTCAACACATAAACTGCCCTAAAGGACACAGCCCAAAACTCAGAGTGTATCTTTCCTGGCTTGAAAAGTATTTTTTTGTGGGGAAACATAACAAAAAGTCTACGTGTTCAGTCCATATTTTTCTGTATTGTACCCCAGAAGAAACCCGAATATACAAGTTAAACAAAATCTGGTCAAATACTTGGCGTGTCCCTTTAAATTAGAATTACACATGTAGCTCACGATTAAAAAAAACAAAAAAACATATGCCTAGAAGCAGTGACAAAGCCAGTACTGTATTACTGTGATTTTATGGGCTATAATTCTTCATGTGCATTCATATAAATATGTGTTTCTGCTGAAACTCACAAAAGCAGTATGTAACTAAGGCTGCAGATTAAAGTTAAATAAAGTAATTGGGTCATCAGAGTCAGTGAGAGTAAAGGGGCAAGAAGTTAATGTGCTTTCATCAGTACTCAACATACAGAGCTTAAGAATAGTCCCTTGCTCACAAGTTAGTAATTACCAAATAAGGGAGAATGAGAGACAGCGAGAACGAGGGGAAAATCACAGGGTGACTTTACAGCTCCCTGTAGAATCAGTGCAATTAAGAAACTATATTATTTCACAGCCGAATGCCACATTGCCTTACATTTGTAAGAGAAACGGTCCGTTCAACCAGAGAAAATATAAGGAAAGTACTATCCCAGGCAACAGGTAAAGCAGACAATATATTACAGACCTGCCCAAAGGGATGGGGCCGGAGAGACATTATGCCAGTGATGCAGTCAGCGTGAATGGCAAAGTAACCACCCATAAAGGAGGCGAGCACGGCAGGATGCCAGGCTGCAGGTACAGGCTGCCCATAAACTCAACTGCCCTATTTTTCATTCTAAGTGCACCAAATATGCTTGTTTATCACACCTTGAAATAGAAGGATATATCGTAACAGCGTTATATAAAACTTTGCAATTTAGTACAAGAATGCTTATTTCCTAAGCTGAGAATTCGAGAGAACTGTTCATTTTTCTAATATTTCCAATTCCCTTGAAGATTCCCCACAATACCCGGTTTAGTCTATAAACGTAAAGGACATAACAAGATCTAAGTTACTATTATCATCTTCTTGTATGTGCAGCATAATCTTTTAACACCATCAAGTCATTCTTCATAACAAGTCCAAGACAGAATCCAGGTCTGTTTATGTAGAGACTGCTACCTCGTATGGTCACTGCAGGAACCGGCAGTCACTAGGGGGATTTTTGCATGGGGTCGCTTTGGAGAAACGCCCTATGCTGCATCTTTCAAGAGAGAAAGAACTCCCTGGAACAAAGGATTTGAAGACCCAGTCAAATGCCAAAATACAATTAGAAGTTCTGAAAGTCACAGTGCCGTCATAGGAATTGGACAGCAAACTAATGAGGGGAAGATTAGGATTTCCTTTTTAGTTAACGTGAAGGTTTTTCTGTCCAATAGGAGTCGTGAGGAGGAACTATAACATACCATATTTCTGAGAAATAAAGTTTTTAGCAGTGTGCTTATTATAACTCTTGCCTTTACATTTAGATCCAATTTACAGTGATACAGTAATATCTAGTGAGTTACTATACCAGTTTAGTGTCGCATGGGCGATTCAGGTACTTGTTGTACTCAAGTTTTAGCTCTTCATATGCCATGAACTGAAGGGCACCATGAGAGGTTCCAAATAAGCCTGGTATGAAACCCTGTGAATACAATACAATTGGAGATCAGAGATGTGTGTACACTATACAGCTATGCTACAGGAGACCATACAAAGTATATAAACCATACCTTATATAGTCCAGGTATGCCCTCATGCCTGTAAATTTTACCAAGAGCATGAAACATTCCTCTGTACTCTCGCTTTGATGGATCGAGGCCAGCATCATACTGAAGTACAAGACGGGTCTTGGTAACCCATATTGGGTTTGTTAAACACAGCGTTAAGGCACCTGGGAAAAAATTTAATCCGTCCATCATACACAACGCAGACTTATAAATAATAAAGAAAAATATGCGATGTAAGTCGTTTCTACACATATTCCAAGCATAATAATTCAATGGTTGTAAATCAATGAGTACTGTATGTAAGCACATTTTAAAGGGGGCAAATGAAGTGGTTATGGTGTTACACTGCACTTGGCCCAAGGTAGCAGGTGGCTGAGCTACACTTTAGGAACCCATGGTTTTGGTCAAACCTCTCAAAAACTGATGACCAAGAACCGGGGAATATGATGCAATATTGTCGACAAATCAGTGCGGTTTATATCCTCCCAAATATATTGATGAAAAAATCTAGTATTCGCTCAACAGTGAGAGGGCTAAACAAATCTTGATAAAATAAGTGTTACAATGTTCCTATCCTTATTCCTGATTGAGATTATAAGTATCAATTTGCCCTTGTGAGGGGGGTTATGCAATCACATACATAGGTTAGGCAGACAGTTCAATCATACTTTATGTGTTCCAAGATTCATTATAAAGTGATAGGAGGAATAGTATGGGTATATAGAGAAAAAACCTCTCTCCCTGTTAACCTAGCTAGATCGGTTAAGGAGGTAAGAGATAAATAATCACGTTTAAACTTGTGGAAAACAAACCGTGAACTAACGTACCAAAATATAAGTATGGGCACGTTAGTTCACAGATTGTTTTCCACAAGTTTAAACGTGATTATTTAAATAATTCTCTTATCTCTTACCTCCTTAACCGATCCAGCTATATTAACAGGGAGAGAGGTTTTTTCTCTATATACCCATACTATTCCTCCCATCACTTTATAATGAATCTTGGAACACATTAAGTATGATGGAACTGTCTGCATAACCTATGTATGTGATTCCATAACCTCCTCACAAGGGCAAATTGATACTTGTAATCTCAATCAGGAATAAGGGTAGGAACATTGTAAAACTTAATTTATCGAGATTTGTTTAGCCCTCTCACTGTTGAGCGAATACTGCAATCAGATGGAGCTCCAATGTGGAGTTGTCACTGGTGTAAGATTTGATCAGGGGTAACATACAGCACAATTAATGATCTCACCTGCTCCAGCAGCTGACAAGAGATGCTCAGTCGCACTGAGATTTTCAACTCTCCCTTCCTTCTTATAAGCTTTGATGGTATTATAGCTTGAGAAAAAAAACAAAAAACAGGTACAATGGAGTAAGGAAACCATATAACCCTTCAATTAAATTTCTATTTCAACCCTTCTTAGATTTCATTAAATCTCTCTTTCGAAGTAGGTTAATAGTTTATTCTGCACAAATCAAATGGCCCACTGTGTTACTAATATTAACTAGCCTAAGCTCTTCAGAATTGCAGTAAACAAAGGCAGGTTAATATTAGCACAGTAAAAGTTTAAAGAATGTTTGGAGCACAGAGGGAGCAGTAGTTATCCCAACAGCTGCTACCAACTTCATAGTAAAGGCTACCGGGATCTCTCGATTAGGAACAGATACAATATGTTCTCCATATGTTACTGGACCAAAATTCGCTTCGACTAGGGCAACATTCTATAACGTTTCAAAGTGGAGCCCAGTCACCATTTAGAGATTAGGTTGGAGAAAGGAGTTATAAACTAAATTAGATTATACATCTTATTCCATGTACTTTCTGGCAGGATTGGCCCTTAAAATTGGGTCTACCAATTAACTCAAAATCGGCTTGGGAAAACCAATGTAAAGTAATCAGCAAAGCTTTGGGAATGCATTTGTTGGCTATAATGTCAATTAACAGCTTAGCAGCAATGCTAGATGCGGAAAAGTGTATCTATATTTTGGTAGGTGAGAGACGTGACAAAGAGTTGGTAAAATGTAATAAGAAGCATGTACAGGACAGGATACAGATTAAATGTTCAGTATTTCTGACCTCACATTTTAAAGCCACTAAGCAATGCAAATTTAACATTACTCCACTTACAATAGAAAGTAAAGGCCCCAGGATGCTCCAGCTCCCCACATATTAGGAGTGACCCCCTGATACAGTCCACGCAGACCTTCCCGCTTCCACACTGTGGACAAACAATGGAAGATGCCATTGTATTGAGGTCGCAACGCCAAGCCATCGCTCACTGAAAAAGCAAAGAAAAGTGGTTAAAGAGTACATACAAGTTGTAAACAATCTGCAAAACTATAGTCTGCTCCACACGAGCATGGGAATTATGCAATCTGTTCAATATTATGGACAGAGAGGTTTAATTTACTGAATCAGAAATTATGGGGCTTCTAACATGCAATCTGCTATTTTTAAACTAAAGCAAACAAATTAGATTTTTTCCCCAAATCCCCTAATTTAACTAGCTCTGCTAATTATCTTAAATTGTACAACACTCATGCTACCCCCATTATTTTTTATCAAACTGCAGAGAGCAATAGTCTTATGCCCTGTATTAATTCTTTTTTTTAAACTACTCATTTGACAGAAAATGTAAGGGGTCTCCTAGTCTCATCGAGCTGTAGCGGTTATGATACTTAGCCTGACCCTAATGTTAAATGGCAAAAATTGGATTGTAATGTTAATCAATCTGGAGTTCCCCTAATTCTTATGATAATAAGATAGGCAACATTCGGCACTCCAGATGTTGTGGACTGCATCTCCCAGAATGCTCTTACACCCATAATGCTGGCAAAGCATCATGGGAGGTGTAGTCCAAAACATCTGGAGTGCCTAAGGTTGCCAATGCCTGAGTCCTAGACTGTATACCTCATGATGGGCTGCTAACCACCATGGCTACCTATGACTGATTATATAGTAGTATTAAATAACAGAAAGTGTATGAATACTAATGCAGCATATGGATGATGTATACTGCAGGGGAGAGCTTTTCATGACCAGGAAGGTCCCTCTACATGAAGAATAGATCCTCTAATGACCAGGAAGGTCCCTCTACATGAAGGATAGATCCTCTAATGACCAGGAAGGTCCCTCTCTATGAAGGATAGATCCTCTAATGACCAGGAAGGTCCCTCTCTATGAAGGATAGATCCTCTAATGACCAGGAAGGTCCCTCTACATGAAGGATAGATCCTCTTATGACCAGGAAGGTTCCACTACATGAAGAATAGATCCTCTAATGACCAGGAAGGTCCCTCTACATGAAGAATAGATCCTCTAATGACCAGGAAGGTCTGTCTACATGAAGAATAGATCCTCTAATGACCAGGAAGGTCCCTCTCTATGAAGGATAGATCCTCTAATGACCAGGAAGGTCCCTCTCTATGAAGGATAGATCCTCTAATGACCAGGAAAGTCCCTCTCTATGAAGGATAGATCCTCTAATGACCAGGAAAGTCGCTCTAGGTCGCTCTACATGAAGGATAGATCCTCTAATGACCAGGAAGGTCCCTCTACATGAAGGATAGATCCTCTAATGACCAGGAAGGTCCCTCTACATGAAGGATAGATCCTCTAATGACCAGGCAGGTCCCTCTACATGAAGGATAGATCCTCTAATGACCAGGCAGGTCCCTCTACATGAAGGATAGATCCTCTTATGACCAGGCATGTCCCTCTACATGAAGAATAGATCCTCTAATGACCAGGAAGGTCCCTCTACATGAAGAATAGATCCTCTAATGACCAGGAAGGTCCCTCTACATGAAGAATAGATCCTCTAATGACCAGGAAGGTCCCTCTACATGAAGGATAGATCCTCTAATGACCAGGAAGGTCCCTCTCTATGAAGGATAGATCCTCTAATGACCAGTAAAGTCGCTCTACATGAAGGATAGATCCTCTAATGACCAGGAAGGTCCCTCTACATGAAGGATAGATCCTCTAATGACCAGGAAGGTCCCTCTACATGAAGGATAGATCCTCTAGTGACCAGGAAGGTCCCTCTACATGAAGGATAGATCCTCTAATGACCAGGAAGGTCCCTCTACATGAAGGATAGATCCTCTAATGACCAGGAAGGTCCCTCTACATGAAGGATAGATCCTCTAATGACCAGGCAGGTCCCTCTACATGAAGGATAGATCCTCTTATGACTAGGCAGGTCCCTCTACATGAAGGATAGATCCTCTTATGACCAGGAAGGTCCCTCTACATGAAGGATAGATCCTCTAATGACCAGGAAGGTCCCTCTACATGAAGGATAGATCCTCTAATGACCAGGAAGGTCCCTCTACATGAAGGACAGATCCTCTAATGACCAGGAAGGTCCCTCTACATGAAGGACAGATCCTCTAATGACCAGGAAGGTCCCTCTATATATGAAGGACAGATCCTCTAATGACCAGGAAGGTCCCTCTATATATGAAGGACAGATCCTCTAATGACCAGGAAGGTCCCTCTACATGAAGGATAGATCCTCTAATGACCAGGAAGGTCCCTCTATATATGAAGGGCAGATCCTCTAATGACCAGGAAGGTCCCTCTACATGAAGGACAGATCCTCTAATGACCAGGAAGGTCCCTCTATATGAAGGGCAGATCCTCTAATGACCAGGAAGGTCCCTCTACATGAAGGATAGATCCTCCAATGACCAGGAAGGTCCCTCTACATGAAGGATAGATCCTCCAATGACCAGGAAGGTCCCTCTACATGAAGGACAGATCCTCCAATGACCAGGAAGGTCCCTCTACATGAAGGATAGATCCTCTAATGACCAGGAAGGTCCCTCTATATGAAGGATAGATCCTCTAATGACCAGGAAGGTCCCTCTACATGAAGGATAGATCCTCAATGACCAGGAAGGTCCCTCTACATGAAGGATAGATCCTCTAATGACCAGGAAGGTCCCTCTACATGAAGGATAGATCCTCTAATGACCAGGAAGGTCCCTCTACATGAAGGATAGATCCTCTAATGACCAGGAAGGTCCCTCTACATGAAGGATAGATCCTCTGACCAGGAAGGTCCCTCTATATGAAGGATAGATCCTCTAATGACCAGGAAGGTCCCTCTATATGAAGGATAGATCCTCCAATGACCAGGAAGGTCCCTTTACATGAAGGATAGATCCTCCAATGACCAGGAAGGTCCCTCTACATGAAGGACAGATCCTCTAATGACCAGGAAGGTCCCTCTACATGAAGGATAGATCCTCTAATGACCAGGAAGGTCCCTCTACATGAAGGACAGATCCTCTAATGACCAGGAAGGTCCCTCTACATGAAGGATAGATCCTCTAATGACCAGGAAGGTCCCTCTATATGAAGGACAGATCCTCCAATGACCAGGAAGGTCCCTCTACATGAAGGATAGATCCTCTAATGACCAGGAAGGTCCCTCTACATGAAGGATAGATCCTCTAATGACCAGGAACCATGGTGGGTGAGGGCAGACAGTGTCCATACCTGCGAATCTGAGCTTGACCAGGTCCAGGGGGTGCAGTACCAGGGTGGAGATGACCCCCCCGCTCAGGCCGGCCGCCAGGTTCTCATAGCGGACATGTCTGAACACCTGGCTGAGTACATTGCCAGCCGGAGGAGCGGGCAGAGCAGAGCTGGTGGAGGGGGTGGCCATCTGGGTAACCCACGTTGCATCACTCACTGACAGCGACTGCGAAGCACTGACCTCCGCACTGAACCCCGCCTCTCACCGCTCACCGGCTTCCGTAGTCCGGGCGAGCTCTGCCCGCAGCCAAGATGGCAGGCGCCTTGCGAGACTTACCTCAACAAAGATGGCGGCGGCTCTGGCTGGGCACGGTGGGGTAGACTAAGCGCGTAGCTGACAGAAGGGACGTAGAAGGCGCGTTGACCTGTTCCAAAATGGCGCCTTCGGCTTCTACGCATGCTGCGTGTGACGCATGTGACCCCACTCCTGGTTCCACACTTCCGGTGCCGCATGTGGCTTGCGAGCTGCAGTAACCCAGTGCTGGTAAATCGTATTATAGTCACATAGACAGCATGAAGGTGAAGGTCTTATCACGAAACCCGGATGATTATGTGCGAGAGACTAAAAGGGACTTACCGAGAGGTCAGTTACCGGTATTACTGCCACCACCCTCCCACACAGAGAGAAGTGTGTGTGTGTGTGTGTGTGTGTGTGTGTGTACATACATATATACACACACACATATAGAAATGTGTGTTTTTTATGTGTGTGTGTGTGTATATGTATGCGTGTGTGCGTGTATATGTGTGTGTATATATATATGAGAAGACAGGGGTGCACTCACAGGTCTTGATGAAAAACGACAATCAAATTCTTTAGGGTGAGTAAATCTTCATTATAGCCGTGTCTAAATCAACGTTTCGACCCCTAAGGGTCTTTTTCAAGATGTTCTCATATATATATGTTCAACGCGGGTTGCACCTAGGCACAATATATTTTGGCTTTATTCCATTCTTGGAAGTAAGGAGAGTGCCAAGCAGATATTGATTTTTTATATATATATACAAATTTTGTTGCACTCACTGCGTATTCCACTGCTGGCCTGGTGCTAATCGGCAAAAACATAGAAAGGTAAAGTATATAGCACTCCTCGGTCTTTCTTGTAAATAAAAAATAGCTTTTATTGGAGCAATAAAAGGTATTTTTTATTTACAAGAAAGGCCGAGGAGTGCTATCTACTTTACCTTTCTATATATATATATAAATAAACAATCCTGTTCTCTGGGAACCTCAATGAATAGTTTTTATGTTCTAACCATATATCTAGAGCCACTCTGCAGAAAGCCAGGGTTTATTTTAGGACATTCTTTTTGTTTTTTTTAATTCACTATATTAAAAAGTTTAGTCAATAACTGTTCTGGTTTCTATGCACTTTAGCAGTTAAATGTATATTTGGGTTTATAATTGTAACTATAATTTCTCTCTCATTTTACATTAATTTAAAATCTTATTTTTTTTATTAGAAATTTGTTTCTTCAGATGCACCAACAAAATTGTCACTGTACAGAAATCTATCTTTTTAATATTATTATGATTATCTAAAAATCACGAGTCCTTTTCTTCAATAAGCAGAGATAAAGAATTTCTCAATCACAATTGTAAAATTTATTTTCAGTTCCGCGAAACTATGACCCATCACTGCACCCATTTGAAGTGCCCCGGGAATATACCAGAGCATTAAATGCCACCAAACTAGAACGTGTTTTTGCAAAGCCATTTGTCGCTTCTTTGGATGGCCATAGAGATGGGATCAACTGCATGGCGAAGCACCCTCAGAGCTTGTCCACCATACTGTCAGGTGCTTGCGATGGAGAGGTAAGGTTTGCTTTGGGAAAACATTATTATTGCGCAAATTAGAAAGATCTAAATTTGGCGTTTTTGTGCCTAGATCCAGGGGTGGGCTTAAACGGACATTTCAGGCTGGAGTTGAAACATTTTTAAATGCAAGCATTGTTATCACTTCTGTGATTTGCAGTGGTCATGGTGCTTGGAGTCTGTATGAGCAGTCTTTATGTATGGAATAACAATAGTTTAAAAAAAATATACAACTTCTGAGCATGTTAATAATAATCTAGGGTATTACATGCACCGCACATGCATGTCATTTCCAAAAGCTAGCTGAAAATTACTTTGGGCAAAACGAAGAGGACAAAAATAAGATTGTACCTGTAGTGCCATGGTGCATGAGTAAGTTGATCAAGAGAGCAAGCGTAAAGAGGGAAACTACAGGTAATGGAGATGGGAAAAGCAATGGAATAAGATTCATAAACGGCTATACATAGGACACGAGGTCACGCACTTAGCCTGGAAGAAAGGAGATTTAATCTAAGGCAAAGAAAAGGTTTTTTTACAGTAAGAGCAATAAGGATATGGAATTCTCTGCCTGAAGAGGTGGTTTTATACATACAGATGTTTAAACAGCAATTGGATAAATACTTCCAAATACATAACATAACATACAGGGATATCATTTCTAATTAGTGGGGTAATAGTTGCTTGATCTAAGGATGATATCTGACTGCTATTTTGGGGTCAATAAGGATTTTTTTTCCTAGTTTGTTGCAAAATTAAGAGTGCTTCAGACTGTTTTTTTTTTTTTGCCTTCTTTTGGATCAAGAGCAAAAACATATGTAAGGAAGACTGAAGTTGATGAATGCAAGTCTTTTTTCAGCTATGTAACTATGTAATGGAACATTAAGGGAGAGAATAAGCCGAAAGACTGTAAGATGTGCTAATTTAGAGTGCTGGAATTATTTGTGATTTATCTGACGTGTTGGTCTGCAGGTTAAGATCTGGAATCTGGTGACGAGGGAATGCACAAGAACAGTACAGGCACATGAAGGCTTTGTTCGTGGACTCTGTGTTCGTTTTTGTGGGAGCTCCTTTTTTACGGTACGTACACCTGCAAAACCGTTTAGTGTATTAATTAACACATTATTTTAGTTAATGTTAAATCGACCAAAGAATTTGATTAATTTTTTTTTTTTTTTTAATAGTTTTTGTTTCCATTAAATAAACAAAAACAATTGGGAATACAACACCGTTTTTCCCTTTTGGAACAACCCATAAACAATACCTTTTTCCAGCACTGAGGGGTTGCTCACCTTTCTGCCTCCTGCAGCATCATCAAGGAGGCTTTGCTTCCTTACCGCTGATTCAATAAAATGCTCCTCATAGAAAAGCTTTGAGGACCTGATGAGCATGCGCAGCTAGTATGTGCATCCAATGCTTCTCGTAAAAAAAGCATTGAATTCAAGACAGCCACTAGAGTTGTGTTTTAACCCTGCAATGTAAACTTTGAAGTTTCTGAATAAAGTGCAATGTTTAACATTACAGGGTTAAAATGACAGGATCACAGTACCTGGTATGCTGAAATGAAGTGGTCTGGACTGTGGATGGCTTTAGGAGTCTTTTAATTATATGGTAAAGGGTAAGGGCATTTGACTTGCGAATTAATTCTGAAAATAAAATATTTTGTAATCCTCGGTTACCTATAACCTTTTACAGAAAACCAAATGGAGCATTTTGTTTATCAGTTATGTATTAAACTGATTAAGGATTCTGTCTATAGAGGTTAATAATTGTTTTATTTTAAAATAACATCTCTGTCAGTTGAATTGTGTAATGCTCACACCATGGGCCTCCTTGGGTGCTCCATGATCTATAGTTAAAGTTCTCCTAGAATAAATTCAGACAGTGGTTTTTGTTTTAACTTGTGTAGGCTGTAGTTCGGTGTTGTCCCATGTAGTGAGGGGAAAGCTATCAATAAGTGGCAATAATACCTTAAATTTATGCTGTGTCGTTGTACATTATCTGATCAGAATTTCTTGTTAGTCATTTGGAGCTTTGCTTTTAAATGAACACTATAGAGTTATAGTACAAAGCCGTATTCCTAAAGTTATATTGCCCTTTTCTGTAGGTTTTTATAGGACACTCACCGATTTGCAATAAAATAAAGTTTTACTTACCTTTTTCCAGCTGAGTGTCACTTGGCGCTACTCACCACTCTGCCACCCATAACATATCGAGGAGGTATCCACGATGGTCCGATCATCAAAGAGTATTGAGAATCTGATGAGCATAAAATGCTTTCATGCGCCTCTAGTGGCAGTCAGGAAGACAGCCCATAAAAGTGGGTTGAATCTGCAATGTAAACATTGCAACTTCTAAAAAAAAAAAACTGCAATGCTTTTTATTGCAAGGTTAAAAGCTTCAGGGCAACTCAATCCAGACTATTCATTGAGATGAAGTGATTTGGGTGACTTTAGTGGTCCTTTAAGGAAATCTAAAATATATCTATTTCTTTGTTTTTACGCTAAATCGTTGATTCCTGTGTGTATATAGGTGGGTGATGATAAGACCGTGAAGCAATGGAAGATGGTAAAAGAATATGGCGAGAAGGAGGAGCCTATACATACAATCCTAGGAAAGGTGAGATGACGCTGAATTGGTGTTAGGATTGAATAGTATTTATAGATTTCTATTTTAGGAGGTATATTATGCAACTTTGATAAATGTATTTATTTTTTCCTTTTAATCTTAAATGTATTATTTCCAGGAATATTAAAATGAATCTATAGTTAAAACTCACCTCTGCGTTTGGAGGTTCATACTTTTTCTCATAGATTGAACTGTGGACTGTTGGAGCTTATGGCAATATCTGCCGCAGACAGCTGGGGTTTTAACAGACTTTCAATGCATTTCTCTAAGGTAGAACCAAAATATGATGGTTCTCTCCATAGATCATTGTAAAAAATGCAAGATAAGTGACATGCCTCGCCTCATAGTGGGAGATTTTATAAAAGCATTGTGAAAAATGCTGCATTGGAGACAATAGCCCTGGAAACTGGTGGAAGAGACAGGCACATTCCATTGCCGACTCTTCCCCTGTTACATATTTGCACCACTTTTGTGAACACAACTGCCTTAATAGCAAGCCAGTAACCAACCTCATGCTGTTCAGCAGACGTATACGCCAAGGAATCCATGTATAAAATGTAATTTTTGAGGTGGTTCTTTGTGGAAGTAATTTGCATATGCCCACCCAGAATCCCTTGCAGTAGTAACAACACTGCCAATATAAGATTCTAGGGAAAGTCTTATGGCTTGACTTGTGTGGGCAGATCTGTGTCAAACTACTTACTATCAAATAATTTTCAGGTGGAAACAGTTTTCAGTCGTCTTTTACCCCACCATAAAACGCTCTCTCTTTCTCTCAAATCTGTCTCACTGGACTGATACGGCTACAATCTCAACTTTATAGATAATAACTTTTTTTAATTATTGTTTTTAATTGTTCTTCTTATATTTAAATGCTGATTTTCTGTGTGGTATTGTGTTAATTAATTTACATTTATTATATGCAAAATGTTTGAACATCCCACCCACTTATATCTTAAATATGTTGAAGGTTTTGTTTATTTGTAATTTATTCCAATAATTCGTAACAGCGTTACATCACTGTCAGACATTTGCAAGTTCATAGTCGGTATAATTTTGAGTTGGTTTCATCAGTATAAATGTAACATGCAAATGAAGCTTTATTTATATTTATTTTTTTAAATCTGATAATTATGTGCATTTGAAGCCTTTTAAACAAAAATAACCATTAAAATATTATGCAGAAACTTTGGAAGTGTGTAGATGATGGCATTTTCTCAGATCTCTGGCTTTGTCTTTCTAGTCTGTATTCACAGGAGTTGATCATCATTGGAAGGACGGGGTGTTTGCTACATGTGGACAACAAGTGGATATTTGGGATGAACAGCGATCCAGTCCCATGAGGTCCTTTACATGGGGTGTGGACAGCATTACGAGTGTCAAATTTAATCCTGTTGAGGTAGGTATATTGTTAATTATGACATATTCAGTTTGTTGTTTACAGAGTAAACCACATATTTGTGCCAAACTCACACTGTATTGTGAATTGTACATGTCATCACAATTGAAAACACAGTACTTGCTTCTCCACATCAAATCTTCCTGCTCAACCATGTGTTCTGCTTTTAATAAGTGGTATTTTAAAGTAAAACATGTCCAACCGGACTCGTGCCCCTCCCCTCATCCACTATTGTGAATTAAAGCAAAAAGAAAGAATGAGAACCCTGATAATGGACAAAAGTTTAGAGGGACTCAATAGCTTGTCCTACGGTAGAACCCAGCTCAGGTCTCAAAATAGTTCTTGCTGACTTGTGCCATTACAGAGTGAACATATTTGAAGTATGTCAGACTGGTCCCACCGTATGGGCAGTTGAGATCCGAAAATGCCAGGAAGTTCCCTCTGCACAAGAGATACAGGAACCTGAACACAGCTTTATTTGCTAGCATTTATGTTTTTTTAATATATTTTTTAATCGGATCTTTGCCTCAGTGATTGGATGCAGACTAAATCTCTTTGAATCAACTTATTTTGACACCTCTATTCATTCTTCCAGTCCATTTATCATGCATTTTCGTCACTTAGGCAGCTACATTTTCATAATCGGAAAATGAGTTTGGAGGTTTGGAGAGGAATTGAAATGCTTTATTGATTTATTTTCAGTTCTAATTACTTTGCATACGTTGTGATTTTTCCTTTTTTCTCAGACACATGTTTTAGGCAGCTGTGCTTCTGACCGAAATATAGTTCTATATGACATGCGACAGGCCACACCACTGAAAAAGGTCAGTAACAAGTGTTTCAGACTTGAGTATAACTATCTATGTATATAATGCCAAGAAATGCCAGCAAGTCTCTTTTAACCCCTTAAGGACCAAACTTCTGGAATAAAAGGGAATCATGACATGTCACACATGTCATGTGTCCTTAAGGGGTTAAATGGTAGATTTACTATTAATGCATTGTAACGGTTTAACAGTTGTGTGTCCTCTTGTGGCACATTTCAGAGGCTTATTTATACATTATTTTTGGCAAATATGTAGATTTTATGCTATACTTCTCTTAAAGGAGCATCTGAAATTATAAAATTGAATAATGAAAATAACTCGTGTTAATTGTTTTCACATTCTCTTTTCTTGTTTTTAAATGTATAATAGAGATTTAGCAAATTACATCACAATCCATTTCAGTCCTTGCACTTGCAGGGCACACTCCTTTAATGAGATGCAGAAACACTGTTTTGTGCTCACTGTCAGGACAGAGCTTATAACAATAATTGATTAAAAAAAAAAGCTAAGATCTCGCCATCCTGACTTTAGTCATGTTTTATCGGTCCTCTTCTGACCGGCTTAGTTTTGTCGAGTCCTGTTTGTGGACACCGGGGATCTGTCCCCTTACAGCTCATTAGATACTTTTGTCTTATGTTCAGGGCACTAAGACTCTGCACAGGGCACTAAAACATTGCTCCTTGTAGAGTCTACTGTGAGTGAGCTGGCCCAAGATGATTGGCAGGAAGCCGGGTGTGCATTCTGCCGTATTTGGTAAGAAACCATAATGGGACCACATCAGTGGCCCAGACTATTTACCCACTTCCACTAGCGTACTACTTCTCAGAACATCAGAGTTGGGAGGTATGTGAGATGGAGGCACCCGGAATAAGAGTTAGCATTTCTACGTTAAATTAATAATTTTTTCCCTGACATATGGGGGCAGTACAATAGGGATGTAATCTTCCCAAGGGACAGGCATCTAAAATTAACATAAAAGTTCCTCCCCCAACAGGTATAAGATTACAAACTGCCATGGAACCTCAGTTCTCTTTCTTGTTCCATGAGGAACGGACGGCATCTGGATATGTTGTGGTGAGGCACATGGGTTGCTGCCAAGGGGATCCGGTCCGATAGTCTCCTGGGTGGAGAGCTGAGTGGCCTGCGTGCATCGTGCAGGAGTTACGTGGCAGATTTGTTTAACTTGCTTTATGCCAAGTGCGGTCACTGGCAAAGCAAGTAGGAGGTCTCTAGCGGCAGCAAATCACTGCCCATATGAGACGCATGCGCAGGGTGGTGACACGCACGCTCGGGTTGTGTGTTCGGGAATTCTCGGAAATGGTGCCAGATTTGAATCAATGCTGCCTAGTTAAACTGTGCAGATCTGACTGACAGCGTGGATGCTACCCAGGAAGGATCTCCCGTTTCACCAGCCCCTCCCCCCACCCCCCCATGGGTCAGAGGTTTTAAAGGGGAGTATTTTCAATCTCTAGAACTATCTTATTTAATTTTACAACAATTTTGTAATTTCTTATGTATTGCAGATATGTATGGTCCTGTCTCTCCAGATATTATGGATAAAGACAAGGTGCCTACTCCTGCTTCTAAAAAAAAGCCAGTTCTAAATCGAAACATCTGAGTTGTAGTGAATGCTCGACATCTCTACCAGATGGTTACAAATGGAAAAATTGCAATCATTGTTTGTCCTTATCACACTAAAAGTCCAAGAAACCGGACATGAAGTCATTCTTGGTATTGGTTTCAAGACAATCTGGCCCAGGCATTTGAGTCATTCAAAGATTCTGCAAAGCCAAAGGTTACAGCTTCTGTTAAAGCAACAACCAAAGGCTAAAAAGGAAGAGATCTTCATCTGGACCAGAACTGTCCTCGGGTGAATGTTCTATTTCATCCTATTCAGAAACTTCCAGCAACTCTTCTATTATAGAAGTCGGTTTTCCACATGAAGAATTGAGGCGATTTTATTAAGGAAGTTAATGTTACCTTCTCTGATGACACAGCATATAAAGCAAGTAGGAAAGCCCTTCCGGGTCAACAAGAGATTCTGGAACTTATGTGCAGAGAGTGGAAGAAACCTGAAAAAAAGGCATTTATTTCCAGACATTTCAAGAGCATTGTTAAACTACAGAGAGAAGACAAGTGGGAAGACTCGCCAGTCGTTGACATACAAGTTGCTCAGTTGTCTAAAAAAAACTAGCATACCGATAAGAGAAGTCTCTGGTCTAAAAGACCCTATGGATAAAAGGGCAGAAACATCCAGCAGACGAGCATATCAGGCAGCAGGATTTCAGGCTAAAGCAGCATTGGCAAGAGCTTCGGTGGCTAAAGCTAAGTACCTTTTGGCTTCAAGGATTGGAAGATAGACTGATGACTACCAAGACAAAGATCTTTCTCACCTGTTCCAAAATTTAAGGTTATCCATACTTGGACGACTGGTTCATAAAGGCAAATTCAAGAGATGCTCTAGAGTCGGATGTGGCTTACACCCTCAGAATCCTGGAAGAACATGGTTGGGTTATAAACCTAGAAAAATTCTATCTGCTTCCTACAAGGCCAATTCAGTTTCTAGTTTTTTTTAATCAAGTCAGACACTCTTTCTATTCACCTAACTGGGGGAAAAAAGATAAAGAAACTGATAAAAAAAAATCTTCAGCAAAAAGCTGTTGCAGGTGTTGGGACACCTCACCTCCACCATCCCAGCAGTAAAATGGGACAGAGCAGAATCAAGGCCTTTACAGTGAGAAAATCTTGCGCAGTGGTCAAAGAAAGAAGAAGACTTGGATGCATTGATATGTATATCCGCTCCTGTAAAAATCCCATGAACTTGGTGGCAAAAGACCAGTTTCAACCAATAAACCGGGTTATAATTACAACGGACACTTCAAATAAATGTTGGGGGGCTCACTTGCAGTGTCACTTAAGGCAAGGCATATGGTCAGAAGATGAATAAAGGGAATCTTCAAATTACAAGGAGTTGATAACCGTCTTATATGCTCTTCATCAGTTCAGAGCTCTTATTGTGGGGAAAATTCAGTCAGACAATCATGCAATGGTGGTTTACCTGAACAAACAAGAAAGTACAAGGGTAAGAAAATTGCACTCTCTTTGCACAAGGATTATGTCCTGGGTTTAAACTCATCTAGACGACCTGTCTGCTACTCACATACGAGGAATACAACCACATTATAGCAGACTATTTTAGCAGATGAAAATGGTCCCAGAATGAGTGGTCTCTAAATCCGGTCATTATTTTTCTTAACTAGTTAAGCGTCGTTCTGCCAGTCATCGATCTAATGGCAGAAGGTCAAATGCAAAGGTGATAACATTTGCCTCCCTCTTCAAGGCAGACATGCCTCTGGTTCTGGATGGGCTATTAATTAGGTGGGACTTCAGCCTTGCATACATATTTCCCCCTGTAAGCCTAATCCCAAGGATTCTGCAAAAGGGGAAAACAGAACAAGCAACGGTGCTGGCCATAATCCCATATTGGCCAAATCGCAGTTGGTTCTCTGTTTTAATGAAGATGGTTTTGAAGTACTGGGAACTTCCGGTGTCAACAGATCTCCTAGAGAACAAAGGGGTTCCGGTAGAGGTATGTTGCAAATGTTTAAATTGACAGCTTGGCCGCTGCACGGCTAATCCTGCATAAAATAGAGAGGTTTAAGTTGCTGCTAAATTCTACCAAAAACTCTTTTACTATCTACTTGAAAATTTGGATGACATTTCTTCATTGGTGCATATCTCATCATTGCATAACATCTTGTATGTTCTTTAAAGGGGTTCTTATTTTATCTACTCTCAAAGTTCAAGTTTCTGCTCTGACATTTTTTGGTAAAGAACTTCACTTTAAATCCTCTCGTTAGGAGATTTTAAAGCTGTCAGACTTATCAAGCCTCCAAGAAAGGAGTTTTTTCCATCTTGGAACCTATCTTTGGTTTTGAACCCTCTTTGTACACAGCCTTTCGAACCTTTGGAGAAAACGTCCTTTAGCTCCTGTCTCTGAAAACCGCATTTTTGGTGGCCATAACTTCCGCTAAGAGGATAGGTGAAATTCAGGCCCTTTCATCATCTGCTGAATTTACTAAAATTCTTCCTAGGTTGTTATGTATCCAAAACCTTTGTTTCTACGGAAAGTCATCTCTTCCAAGGCTATCAATCAACCAGTTTCCCTGCCTTCCTTTGGTTATTCATCTGTCTCCGATTTGGATGATAATTGGCACAAGTTGGATGTCGGAAGATCTAAGATCTACTTAGACTGCTCTTCTACATACAGGAAGACTGACCATCTTTTTGACAATTTCTTTGGAAAATTTAAAGGTCATGTTGCCTCCAAGTCTACTTCAGCAAAATGGCTCGTGGACACAATTAAATTGGCTTATTCTGCCTCTGTCTGCCTCCTTGAAAGCTCATTCTACTAGAGCCATGACTGTTTCCCGGGCCAAAAAAGCACATGCGTCACCTGAAGATATCTGCAGAGCCGCTACATAGTCTTTATTCAACACCTTCGTCAAGCATTACAGACTAGACGTATTCTCTGACTCTGCTTTCTTGCACAAGGTGTTACAAGGGGTGGTTGCCTAATTCATGCCCATAGCTCTGGGATCTCGATAGATCCCTATTGTACTGCCACCATATGTCAGGAAAAAAATGCAATTTTACTCACCATAAAATTACTTTTTCTTTAATATGGTGGCAGTATATCACTCCCTCCCTTTGTTAATAAATTTAAATATTTTTGCAGTAATAGGTCTCTGAGGTTTTATTGGGACGTACTGAGGTTCCATGGCATGTTGTTTTATACCTGTTGGGGGAGGAACTTTTATGTTATTTGTTAATTTCAGATGCTTGTCCCTTGGGAAGAGTACATCCATATTGTACTGCCACCAATTTATGGAAAAAGGAATTTATGGTGAATAAAATTTCAGTTTTCAGACCTAACAAATGGGTAGTGACTGTATCCCACAATGCCTTGGGTACAACTGAGTGTTTTGCATTTTAAGCAATTCGTTCTAGATACTTTTCCAGTCCCTTATTATATAGTTGACTATTTAAAAAAAAAAATATATATAAATATATATATATATATATATATATATATATATATATTATGTTTGAGAAATGTGTATTTTTTAAGAAAAGAAGTAGTAATGTTTCCTCTCTACTTTTTAGGTTATTTTGGAAATGAGAACAAACACAATATGTTGGAATCCTATGGAAGCGTTTATATTTACAGCAGCTAATGAGAACTTTAAGTAGGTACTTTATGTAGGCTCGGTACAGCATGCCATTGGCTGACCAGCTATTCTTTAGAAACTTACGATTGCAATACTTTTATAAAGCTGTATTGCTAAACTTTTCCTGGTCTTCCTGCCCTATTTCAGTGTCCCATTAGTTGGTGGATATATTTAATATAAAAATATTTGCTTTGCTCTACACATCGGCTATTTTTTCTACATTTTGCATTTAGGATTATTCACTACAGTTCGGTGTTCAGTGAATGAAAACACCAAACAACCTATCCCTCAACTTTTCACTGTTTGCCTTCCAGTGTTGAGTTTTCCTTAAGCAAATTTCAGATGACACAGTTTAGCCACTTGGAGGAGCCATTGATGCAATTTGGGTTCAACAGGTTCATGTAAATGAGAATTCTAGTCTAGTTAAATCCAGCATTTTAATTATTTTAGCTGTAGCTCAGAATATGTTGGACTATGACCTCCCATCACGGGAGACCAACCGTATCTGGGGTCTGCGGCTAAATATTTATTTATTTCCTAGGGTTTACGTATTTTCAAATCTCTGTAACTTAGGAGACAACTTGAGTTTTAGTAAATAATAGATAAAAAAAATAGATAAATGTACATACCTATTTACAGAAATAAGTAATTATTCCCTAAATTTGTATTCACCATACATCAATCTGATAAGTTCCTATCCTATTCCATGCTGAGACTTGAGAAAGCATCCAGGAGCGACACGAAAAGCGTTCAGTCCCCAGTTTAATTTAGTTTGTTTCCCTCCTCTCTTATGCTTGGTGCAGAGATCTGCTTTTGTATTACTGTTTGTCACTGCGACTCACCGTGGTGGGCATGCCTTGTTACACCATAAATTCTACGATTTTATTTTCACAAAGTCTTCTGAGTGCGGTGTTGTTATCTTGTTGGGATTTTCTGTGCCGTAGGTACCATAAGGACTGGTTATATATGTTTAGCCTGCCCCGTAAAATTTTTTTTTTTTTTCCAGTTTTACCCAATGTATATTTAAGTAAACATAACATATCTACTTTCTACACACACACACTGAATTATCATCTGTATGTATTGCTTGTTTCTACAGTTTATACACTTATGACATGCGCAACTTGGAACATCCGCTGAAAGTGCACATGGGACACGTGTCTGCTGTCCTGGATGTGGATTACTCCCCCACTGGAAAGGAGTTTGTTTCTGCCAGCTTTGATAAATCCATCCGCATATTCCCTGTTCAACTTGGAAGCAGCAGGTTAGTGTTTTCCTATTCGGTGTGTTTTATCTAAATTCCAGGGTTCATCTTATTTCAAATGCTCCTGCCATACATGGAATTGCTAATAAAATGTCCTTCTTTTCTTTCTATAACGTTCCGCAGCAGTTAAAGCGGCTCGGTAGGGGTTGCTGTATATATATATTTTTTTTATTATTTTTAATTTCTTCCTGTATCTTTTACAGATATTGTTAGTGTTAAAGGACCACTATAGTGCCAGGAAAACATAGGCACTATAGTTTCCTGAGGGTGCCCCCACCCTCAGGGACCCCCTCCCGCCCGGCTCGGGAAAGGGGTTTAAACTTACCTTTTTCCAGCGCTGGGCGGGGAGCTCTCCTCCTTCTCTCCTCCTCCGATCCGCCCCATCGGCTGAATGCGCACGCGCGGCAAGAGCTGCACACGCATTCAGGCGTGCATAGGAAAGCATTTACAATGCTTTCCTATGGGCGCTGGCTCTCACTGTGAAAATCACAGTGAGAAACGCAAGCGCCTCTAGTGGCTGTCAATGAGACAGCCACTAGAGGATTAGGGGGAAGGCTTAACCCATTAATAAACATAGCAGTTTCTCTGAAACTGCTATGTTTATTAAAAAATGGGTTAACCCTAGTTGGACCTGGCACCCAGACCACTTCATTAAGCTGAAGTGGTCTGGGTGCCTAGAGTGATCCTTTAAAGGAACAGTCTAGACACGTAAATCACTTCAGCTTCCTGAAGTGCTGTATGTGTCTGGATTCTGTAATTCTTTGACAGTTTATAAAAGTGCCGTTTTTAATAGTAATCTGCATTTTTAAAACTGGGGACAGACTGTCACTCAGACAGTAAGGGTGATTTTGTTCCGCTTCTTGCACTAAGCTAGAGCATGCCTCTCTGTGAGCTGTACCAATGCTCAGTGAGTAGAATAGGAAAGCTGTGATCACGTTTGAGGGCACTTACGGCTCCAGCAAAGAGCACAGAAAGCTCTGATTGGTTTAGCCTGAAAGTCTGTGTCAGGAAATCAGGTAGGAGGCTCGCAAAGGCTGCCGACCGCAGATTGGCAGATTTTGAAAGTAGTTTTTTCATATATTTCCAAAGAAAAGATGCAGGAAAAAAATGCATGCATGTTGTTTTATCAGAGATGGTTCTTTTAAAAAGAAAAACAAAAGTCAACGGAATGTTCATTTAAAGCAAAGTATGCCGATGCCTAGTGATGACTACAAGAGACCCTACATCTAAATTAATAGATACCTTATGTATGATCACGTTTTTCTATTTTGGTGTTAGAAGCTTATATTACATGTTGATACTAGTGTCCCCAGTGTGAGTGGTCTCTTGACTAACCACATCCAAAGGGATATGCATGCTGGTGCTGTTGTCATAACTTCTTCAAACACAATAGCACAGTTTGCACACTAATCCTAAGTGACCACCGATCAGCTCACAAATATACTGACTTTAAAAAACTACCATTTGTATGTAGAATGTTTTTTTGTTTCGTTTTTTTTTTTTTTTTATCATCAATGTATTAAACGGAATTATATATTTTATTTATGGAAGCAATCCTAGAACTTGAAAAAGTATATAGATTCATGTTGAGTGGAGAGGATGCTGTAAATGTGTAAATTGGTATTCTAAATTTTTTTTTATTATTATTTTTTTTTTTAGTGCAGTTTTTACAGCTTAAAGTCTAATTGTATGAACTTTTCTATTTATTGTAGAGAGGTTTACCACACCAAACGGATGCAGCATGTTACATGCGTAAAATGGTCTGCTGACAATAAGTACATTCTCTCTGGCTCCGATGAAATGAACATTCGTTTATGGAAGGCAAATGCTTCCGAAAAACTTGGCTTGGTAGGTTATTTTCAGTGTGTTTTTAAGGGAGCATTATGTTCTCTATATAATTGTAAAGGAGTGTGTGATGGCTAAGCATGTGTTAATATTTAGAGTTATTCAAGGAAACCTAAGCATATACTGCATCTGAACATTTGGTTCTACATATGTGAAATAAAGTCCCTTGTGTCTGTACAAATTCTAATAATTCCTAACCATGCTCTAGATCCAGATACTATGTCTTAAAATCAGGCATGTTGTTTGTATCAAAAGATGTTGCTCTGCTTCCTGACTGTGTCTGTTGGATATACCTGCGTGATATCTTCATTATCTTTGTTTTGATATATTTGTTTCTTATTCTGTGAGGTGATAATACACTTTTTAGTTAGACATAGAACACAACGTGGTATGCCATTTACTATTGGTACACAAACCGGTTCCCTTGACCACGTAATTTGGGTATACACGTGTGAGTTCAACAATTTTACATTTACAATATATTGGCCCTCCAAATATTGGGGTGAGCATCCAGGTGGTAATACAAATCAAAGTCCCTTTTATTTGATGTTACAGTATTCCAACTCCTATTAGCTACAGCCATCCTGCTGAGAGAAATACGCCGTAACTGCAACAGCCTCCTTGAAACTTTCCCATGCACCAAATGAGTATAACTATGGACATCTTGGGGTCCCACCCTAGCGGAAGGGTTCCTTATTCGAGGATCCCCATTAAACAAGCTTCTGGGCCATCGTGTCTGTTTGAGTCAACACTCCTAGGATAAACCATTCTCCAATTTGTGTGCAGGTTATGTGGCACCTTCATGGCCAGCCCTCCGGACTCAGGACATAGAACAAGCACACAGAGCTCTGCTCCTCTATTTTTTGCGACCCTTTTTGTGCACTCTTCAATAGTCACAGCAGCTTAAACAAAGCGGCCTAGCACTTAGAATTAAAATGTGTCGTGTTCATGGCTTTTCACCACATGGAAAGAAATGAAAGCAACATGCCCCATCACATCTAAATTTCCCTTGCATATGTTATAATAGAAGGGGGTCTTGTATCCTTTCTCCCTGCAAGTAGTATTATTCTATAGTTAGAAGCCCACCCCTTCAGTCAAATATGCCGTCTGAAGAAGTTTGTTTCTTTCTGCTCATACAAGTACTTGAACTATATTGACGCACCAGCTGCTGAGCATCATCTAATTCAACTGCTAATTTCTACAGTAGAAAGTTGATAAGTGAACTCTGCTCTAACATAGAGAGTTATTTGAAAATCATGATTGTTTGGATCACTTTTGGACACCGCACGCTGCAGACGTTGCCAAGCCTGAGGAGTCACAGCAAATGCGATTTTCAAATATGTATATATTTTTCACGGTTTTTAAGTTGAAATTAAATAAATTGCTTTAAAAAATTATATACACTTCATGTTTGTTTGGTAGCTGCACAAAAGCACATAAAACTGCTACTCCTACACAATCTCCTCGAGCTCAGTGCTATAGAATAATGTGATTATCTGTAACCAACACGTTGCAAAGTTCAAGTCTGTCAGTCAAGTTAATTCCCCTTAGGTTTATGTAGGACTGTCTGTTTAAGAGATCTAATCTTGACACTGTCAAATTTGCGGTATTTCAAAATTTTTCTTGATTGGAGTTTTCATGAAAAAGATATATGCATGAGAAGGAAAGTCTCAGACCGTATATAGTAGTATGTGCCCTAATCTGTGAGTGTGTCTCAAGAGTGTCTCATGCCGAATCCCTGACTGTATTTAAGAACCTATACTGCAATAGCTTCAATAATTGGTTTTATCAGATGTCTTTTTTGTCACTGCAGAACACCCAAGTCTAGGTGTTTTGTGGTTTTATCTTGGTAGCAGGGAAGACCACAGATTTAAATTGTGCGGTTTTCGGTCTTCCATGTCTTTCCATATATGATGCAGAAAATAATCTGCCGGACCAAATTGGTCGCCTTCACAGTAAATCAGAAAAAGAAAACTGAATGTATTTACAGAATAATAAACACCAGTGTTCCTATAGCCTCCTCCATCTTCTCTCTGCATCTCCTGACTTCCTTGCCAGAAGCTAAATCCTCTTTGCTTGGGAGTTCAGAATGGCCTTCCATCAACTATGTTATTGCGCCATAGTCCTCACAGAGCCTCTGATGAAGTGGATTTTTCCACAAAACGATTTGGGCTATTGCGAACTCTTGGCTTACCGTGCTGGAACGCATGTGGAACTCACAATAGAAGGAGCCCCAGGCTCAAATCTACCAAAAGTTTTTTCCCTCGGATTGTGGTTTGCGGGCTTTCTCCAGATCCTGGCACTTCGGAGTACTGTCAGCTTGCAGAAGTTAAAGGGGCACATCACTGTGGCGGACCTGCGTGTCCAGATAACCAAGTACAATTTCTGCATTTTGCATCCAAATTAAGCGAGTGTCTACAAAGTACACTATGGAAGTATAATTTACTTTGCGGATTTGCCACTTTGTATACCATTTTTACTGGACTTTTTAAGGGACCTGATTGTGTCTTGAATACCTTTTTGATATTTGATGCAAATTGTTATACACACTGTTACTTTTTGGATACCATGGCAGAGTTAGTAGCAATTTGCGACATTTCTATGTATACTGTGATTGCCTTATCAGTGCCTGGGTTGTCTATTACTGCAAATTGTGTTTTTATTTTTCCCTTTTTTGTGATTTATAGACTCTGCATTTCCTTTTATATTTTTTTTTTCTTCCCTAATTTTATTTTTTTGTTTTAGGCTTTAGACTCCTAGGCTGGTATTTCTGGCTATTTATTGTTAGATCTTTAGCAGATACTCCCCTAATTGCATTTTGCAGTTTGTTAAATGTTTTATGGTCACTGATTGAGCCTGTTAGGCCATAACAGCTGAATTGGTGGCACACCCAGTCTCCTATTTTATATACATTTTGTATTACAGATTTGCCAACTCTCTCGCTTTTTTTAGTGAATATTCCAGTTCATGTTTGTTCTAAATTGATCCCATTTTTAGTTTGGGATCCTTTTATAAATTAGAATTATTATAATTTTTTTTTTTTTAATCCCAACTATAAAGCATTGTTTTAAATCAAATTTTCTGAAGATTCTGCAGTAGCTTTAACCTATTTAATCCATCAAGAAAGATATGCAGTGCTCCAAATTCCATTTAGAGATGTGTGGTCTGAAATTTGCAACCTCAGAACATCAGTTTAAGCGCATCCTGACTGTATGTAAAAACCCTCTGGGGGGGTCTCTAAGGCACCCACAAGTAGACCAGAGCTTTTCTGCAATGTTCAGGTCATTGCGCAATATGTTAACGAGAGAACACAAGTAATTGAATTCTAATTTGTTTTCCTCCTTAGCAGGGTTCCAATGCAAATCAGGAATCAACAGGAGAATTTATTTACGGAAATAAAAACTACATGTAGATTTCAAGTATATTTTGTTATGGCTATAGTTTTCTTTTCTTAATAAATTCTATAGTTAAAGTGGAATTTAGTATCTACAAATATGGGTACTTCAGTGATCAGAGCATGTTCTGGTTGAGCACATAAGGAAAATTTTATTGGTGGTACGCAGTGGGAGGAGTTTTCTAAATCAGATACCATGGAAACGTTACAGAGGATGCTTCTGAAATGCTACCTTATTGCGACATTTGTGAATGATTGTCCTCATAAAATCAATTTTTATGTATTTACCTTGCAATGCCTTTTTACAAGCTTTTAATACATTATTTAAAAAGCGTCTACTAGAGCTAGGGGCATTGCAAATTTATTTTAAACTAGAATCAAATTATGCCGATATAATTTCATTCTTATCTTCTGACCTTGCGTGAGATGCAGTGTAGTTAATGGGTTAAAAAGTATTCTCTTTTATTTTTATATATATATGTATATATATATATATATATACATACACAGTGATGGATTCATGACATTGCAAATTTAAGATGGCTGCAGAAGATTTTTCTTGGCTTACACAGCCAAACCATTTTCTTAAATTGCTATAGTCTATTGTTGACATGCTTAAAATAATTAGATAAATAAGTGTCTAGTAGTGCAAGCTTTATTGCAAACCGCATAACATTCTAAGATTGCATTGCAGTGGGCCAAGCAAGCCCAGTTTTTCGGTCGACAAAAGTGTTTAGGTTGTACTAAATCAGCAACAGCACTTTGCTCGTCTTCAATTAAATTAAAGAAAATCATTGCTTTTAATTAGAATAAAAGCCTTCTAACCTGGGAGATGTTGACAGTTTGCTGCACAATGAGAATCCGTGGGATTTATTTAGGCTGGCTCGAGAAAATGATCATGATTATATGACAGGGCAAAAACATTTAGATGTTAATGGGCGCCGGATTTGCTTAGTGATTGAAGTGTGGACATTGCAGGGGTGATTTAAACAGGTTGTAAATGATTTCACTCATGACTTGAGGTCTTTAAGAGAAGCGTTCTCTAGAGCAACTCTCGTCAATCCAGGTGATGACTCAAGACCTTGTGCCGTAGTACCAAAGTCTGTATCAGTGATTTGGAGCATAGATGTTTGTGGACTACATTTCTTCTGTGTATTAATTCATGTTTATATAATCTAAAATCATGTGCAAACCACCAAATCTTGCAGGAAGTTGGTTTATTGACCTATACAGCAGCTTTTCTACACTTTTGGATATTTTATCAAGACCTATTGCAAAAGGTCCCAACACATTGCTATTTTCATCTTCCAAAAATACAGAGTGATTTAGCCCAGTATCCAGCACCCGATCTCTCTGCCCCATGTCCTTTCGCTGCTCAGAGTCTTTAAAAAGAAAGCCTTGGCCAGGGGCACTGCTGATTAGCTGAGATCATTAGCTGATGTTCTATGCCAAACAGTGGCTCCCCATTCACAAATACCTGAGGGAAAAAATATATGTGGGAGCCGATGCTCTCAGATAGTCGTCAATCAAGAATTACTAAAATGAGGTGCCAAATTGCTTTATAGAAGGGTGTGGATTTCTACATTTAATTGTATTTTTCACACTTCACAAATATGTGTTAAATGTAGGGGAAAGTAAACAGGATTTTAAAAATCCTGTGAGTTTTTATTTAATGTTTTGAGAATTTGAGATACATTAATATGCAGACTGGCAATGCAGTAGACTGTTTCAGAACGCGGATATCTAAACATATTCTAAATGACACCTACCGTTGAGCCAATTTGGGTGTATTTGTACCAGTTAGGAGAGCCAATCAAAAAGCTCGTTTGTAGCAAGATAATTGCAAAGACGAAGTTACAGGAATGTCGACTAGCGGTCTGTATTTACCTACTCTCTGTTTGTTAGTTGGCAATAATGGCAGTTAAGTCCACAGCGTACATGTTGAAGATTCACTGCCCACTGCGCTAGGTAGAAAACAAATGGCTACACACTAGTGTGGAATGTTGTGTGGTAGCTTGTTTGTGATTAATGTTACCTGAAATACAATGTATTCTGATTGTTCTCATTATTGCCCTAATGGATATAACTATGTAGTGGATTATCATTTACTTGATTTTAAACGAGACTAATTGCAGCATTCACCCAAGGGACAGCCTTCAGCAGATTTTTCTTTAATGCAGAATGTTTTTATCGCTCACAAATGTTTGTTGTAGATGGTAAAGTGTAATATTTTCATAATACATTGATGAATGCATAGTCATAAATAACGAGTGGTCAAGTTGTTGTGTTTTTGTTTTTTGTTTTTTTTGGGTGCTTATATTCCCACCAGCACTACTAAATATTCTGCATATGTTCTATTTTGTTTATGGTTAAAGGACGATTATTGGTACATGCAGGATTTTTTTTACTTTTGATTGTAGCTAGAAGATGGGTGTCACAAGTTACAATCCAGCATTGATATCCTATGAGTTATTTTTTTCATGACTTATTGGCCGCTATTGTGTGAGGTTTTTTTTGTTTTGTTTTTTAACTCAATAACAATTCAATGATGTAAAACTTTTTTTTTTTTTTCTGTATCAATTTTCAATATTTACTTAATCTGTCAAATTGACTTACGATTTGTCATCAGTTACACAATATCGTGATTGATACTCTGCAAACTCAAATTTTTTTGAGAGGGGACTAATTCATAGAAAAGTGTCTTTGGTGGCTTGACAACTTATTTATTTTGGTGTTGAACATGATTAGTGCCCAATGGAAAAAAATACCATAGTTCATGACACTAATTCATAACGATTGTAATCGCTAATGATTTATGTATATTATAAGGTCATTATTCAACAAATCTTTAATGGTAAAAAGACAGGATTTGTATTCCTGGTATATGTTGCATACATGTGCATGTATTAATCAGCTAACCCAGGGGAATGTGTCTTTAAATGTTTGCTTTTTATGTTTCTGATTTCTCTATCTTAGTGCCTCTTGTAATCCTTCCTTTTTTCCTTTATAGTTGGCACCTAGAGAGAGAGCTGCTCTGAACTACAACCAGAAGCTAAAGGAGAAATTCCAGCATCATCCACAGATCAAACGAATTGCGCGCCACCGGCACCTCCCAAAATCCATCTACAGCCAAATAAAGGAGCAACGCATTATGAAGGAAGCTCGCCGCAAGAAGTATGTATCCCATCGTTAATTGGTTCCACACATCCCACCAGCCAGATTAATACAGGATGGATCACAGCACTAATGTGCAAATATAGAGTATTTAGTAAAGCAAGACAACTCTCTCTAAAAGAAAATGTTACCTGGGCTAGGAGCAGAGTGCAAGTGTCTTATCGTTTTTAATGTTAATCTATCAGATTTCCATTTTTCTAAAACTCTACCTTGTGTTATTTGGCTTGAGATCACACGCCAAAGGATGGAAATCAAAGGGACCACCTAAAAGCATGCTTTAACAAACCGAGCAGATTTCTATAGAAATTGGCACTTTGATAAACAAACCTTGTTACAACCCCAGGCTCTCAGTCAGACAACCAATCCTGTTACTTCTTGGTTGATTAGCTCAGTGGGGCTAAACCCAAGAGGCAGGTAATTGCCAAGACTACGCTTATTACAAGTCTGCGATTGGACCGTTCCAGCAAGAGTGGGAAGAAAGAGATGGCTATGTCTGGATAACAAAAATATAAATTTTGAATACATTTTGTAGATAACTCTTTAATTGCTGTGTGTATATTTTTAAACATACCCAAAATATACTTTCATTTGAAGATCCTGTACTTGTTGCAAAACTCATTTTGCTTTAACTTTGTTGTTGACTACCTGGACTCTACTTGTTAATACCACTGATGAATCTATTCACTAAGAAAGATTTGTTGGCTGTGTCCCTGCAGCTATATCTGAACTATATTTCCATGGACTGTCAAATAAGTGTTGGAAATGTACTTTAACAATAAGTGGAGGACCACCCTGCACTAAACCCTGGGTCAGAGCCACCAGGTTAACCTAAAAAATTGGAGGTCCAAGTTTAGACCCTAGCCTTTTATGCTTTCCTGCCTTTAAGGTTTCATACTATTTTATTATAATTATAAATTACCAATACTGTATACTTAAAAAAAAAAAAAAAATATATATATATATATATCTTTTGATGTTTCCTTTAAACAGGGATTGGCTGAACGGTCTTAGCCTATCCCTCCCAGACCATTCAAATGAACAAGACCACATTATTTACATGGCATGATGTTCTGTCTGCAAAAGGCAAAAAGATCATCCTGTGAAATGCACAATTGCAGGTTTGGTGTTTTTAAATGTGCTGCATGCATACTCTTTTCTTGCTTTACTGATTTAATGTTATGTTTTTTCAGGGATGTGAACCGTCGCAAACACAGCAAAGAAGGCTCCGTACCATTAAGCTCAGAGAAAAAGAAGCATGTTGTAGCAGTTATGGAGTAAGAAGCTACACGATGGACAACTTTTTTTTGCTTTACAATATTGTGTTCCGACTGTCTTTGAGGTTTTGTATGATTCACCGAGATGGGAGTTACCTTCTGTCAGTAGTTGGAGGACTGCAGTCTTTGTTTTGTACATATGTGACAAAGAGAAAAATTAACCATTTACTGAACACATCTGGCCTAAGATCTGTGTTGGGAAGCGAAGTAATAAAATGTAACTTTTTTTCAGAGACTTCTTGGAACTGTTAGAAAATCTTAAACATGTTCTGATCTCGGCTCCCATTTTAGCTTTTATTTTATATGTTGAGGATTCGTGATTTGTGAACAATCGAAAATATATTTCTATTTTGCAAATCCAAATAAAGGTTAATATTGTTATTTGATATGAACAAAACTTAATTACCGGTAGTTAAAAAAATATTTAGTGTGACCTTTGCCGATCATCTAATTGGCATTAAAATACGCACGTTTGTAATCACTTACATGTATTTTATTACTAGTATGGAGTGAACACTCAGTTTTATGAGAGATTGAAGGCCAGTATCAAAGTACATAAATGCAGGTGAAAATATTGAGCTGAGGTTGAGATAGGAAGAAAATAGTTTATAAAAGAGGGGCGCCATAAGACAGTCATTGTGGTCGCATTTGATTAGTTCCAAATTTCTATGGATCAGATTTTTTTTATAATACATTTTTAGACCAAGATCCACCCTTCTCCCTATCTGCCTCTAGATTCCAACTTAATTTTTTCTTGAGGTTTTTTTTACGCTTTAATATGTTCAAACTGTAGAAGGAAGAGGTCTACTACATCAGAAGTTTTACAGCTGTCAACATGTCTTCAATTACTGATTTTACTTTTTAGTAATTTCTATCACGGCTAAATTATTGTACTTTTTCTTTAAGATACGTTGTAGACCTACAAAGGTTAAGAATACAATCTATTAATATTCCATAATTAAAATTTGTACCTCATTCATCAAAAATATTCTGGTTAAAATCTCCGTAAATCAGTTCTATTCATGAAGTTTTCCACAGCTGAGCTACTGCCAAGGTCCTTGTATATTGTGCGTGGGATATGGTCTATTTAAAACTTTCTAATGTGCTAAAAAAAAAACTATTTTGGATTAAGCTTTTTATGAATTAATAGCCAGACTTCACTACTTAATGCCATAATATAGAGCAAGCAAGGACAACGTTATATAGCGGCGATGGCTAATCCAGTGGCATTTCTGTGACTGCTTACGTCCCAAATTCCTTACATTTAGCGGGACAGTCACTGATCACCCAATTCCGAGCTCCTGATGTCAGATGTCTACAGTAACTTGCATTTTGTCACTGTTATGCCCCCGTGTCAGTCCATTTTCCTTGATACCCTGCCATTTATAAAGAAAATAAGATACTTTATTCTAAAGTGCGTTGGGAGGATTGTGCACAACCACCACCCACTGATTAAAAGATAGAAGTGCCTATAATTTAATTTTATTGCTCTATTGAAGAAGTATCCTAATAATTGTGTGTACGTCTGACATGCAGTATTCCTTGTTAATGGAATAATAAAATGCTGTGTGTTGATGGACATTGATGTCATGACAGAGCAGCTGCTGTGAACAAATCTCTTCCATGTTTGCCTTCCACGCAATCGGCTGTCTCAATTAGGGAGGTTTATACTTTTGTTTTTTAAAGGTCCAAAATATTCCGTTGCCATGTTTAATAGGGTGGCATCCAATCAAGTCTATTTTTCTATAAAATCACTGTAAGGAATTATTGCACATCTGTTATCTATATATTGTGCTTGCAAATTTTCAGTTACATGTGAAAGTGTAAAATGTGTCAGCCCTGACACGCTCATTTTCTTTATTTATAAAAAAATAAAGGGTGAGGGCCCTTAGTGTTAACCCCTTCCGAACAGTTTTTAATTAAAAAATATAGTAGCTCACATGGCAATTATTTAAAGCGAGGCATGCATAGCTAACATATAATATATAACAACACAGAACATTTGTGTATAGATGGATTTACAAACGTAACAATATAAACGTGAATTGAAGATTATATTAGCTTTAGTGTACTAATAATCTTAATTTTAGTAATGACAGGAGGCGAATATTTGCATATCTTTCTTTACTGAAAACTCCAGCAGCATAGAAACATAACAACCAATCAGAAAAAAGTTATGATGCCCATAAAAGGCCCTGTCTATGACATCACTTCCTCTTTCTTTGAAGCGAAACAATAAATAACAACAAGAGACATAATCATATTACGTCAACAGTTCAACAACATATTAGAATATCCAACTCCATTAGTTCCGCGATGCAGAGGTATGGAAGGTGAATCTTTGTCTCGATGAGAAGACGTTCACGCTGCAAGAAAAAGAAAAAGGTGAAAGGTATCTGGCGTGATAACTTGTCCGCATACAATAAGCATTAAGCATCTGATATACCAACGAACATTAGAATGTGAAACATATCAATATATATTTATTCTAACGCAATGATATTTAAGAATCTATAAACACAACATAATGCAAGGTTCATGTCTAATATTCAGCCAATACAAGACCCACAAGATACAGGTCTAAGTAGCAAACATACAAACCATACGTACTTACCTTCCTGAACATAAAGGACATATTCTGTTCAACACGAGAAACATGGGAGGGATCCTATAGGGTGGGAAATATTCGCCTCCTGTCATTACTAAAATTAAGATTATTAGTACACTAAAGCTAATATAATCTTCAATTTTACCACATGACAGGAGGCTTCATATTTGCATTTTTAAAGCTTTGAATTGACCAATGTGAAGGAAGCATGAGATGTTTGCCGAAAATAGAACGTTCTAAACGTACTCTCTCGCGCTCAGTCCGCGCAGCGTATAATGTCGGCTAGGGAAGCGTCGGCCGAAAAGGTTTGTGAGGCCGCCGCTCCCCTGACCGAGTGGGCTCCGAAACAAGGTTCGACGCTAAAGACAAAAACCAGCGGACCCATCTGGCCAGTGTTGCGGTAGACACCGGTCCATGAGGGTTCACGTAAGAAGTCAGAAGGTGATCCGTCGAATGAGTTCGAAGGGGGTAGAGATATTGGTGTACCCCATTAGCGTTCTGACCACGCGTAGTGTGGCGTCTGACACAAAGCATAGGTATGACACTGAAGACGAATCAGACTTAGTTTGTCTCGACATGGTAAAGGTAACCCCGTCTGGTGTGAGAGAGAAACCATCCATATCGCAAGCCCTAACGTCCGCCACCGTCTAAATGAGGCGGGGCATAATAAGAGGGCTAGTTTGGCTGAAAGTTGCTTCAGTGACAAACAAGGATTGTCCGGCCATTCCCTAAGGAATCTCAGCCCCACATCCACCTGCCAGAGGCGTGAATATTTGGGTGCAGGGATCTCGACAATTCGGCACCCTGCAGTAGTCGACAAACCAGTGTATCTTGACCTACTGGTCTGCCCTGTACTGGAACGTGCGCCGCCGATATGGCGGATCTGATCACTTTGAGGGATCGATATGACCGACCCAACGAGACCAGGTGTGACAGATAGTTGAGGATCAGTGGGACAGGTGCGGTAAAGGGATCGGAATCCCTTTTCACACACCAATCACTCCAGGCCGACCAGGCAGAAATATAGCCTTTCCTGGTGCCGGGAGCCTATGATTCCCATAGGAGGTCTTAGTTGATGCAATAGGTCGTGAACTGACCAGGAGCCCCTGAAGCCGTCCAGGCAACTAGTGCCAGTTGTCCTTCCATGACAAGGGAGTGGGCTTCCCCTCGAGGTCCCGTCAAAAGTAGAGGGAAGGTAGGGAGTAGTAGAGGGTCTTTGCGAGACATCTCCTGGCGATCCGGGAAATCACGGTTGGCCCTGCCCTAGGGGTGTCATGAGCAGGAGCGATATCTTGTGGGTGTGTGTGTGTGTGCATCGAAGCACCCTTGCTATTGTGGAGAACGGCTGGGTCGCGTTTGCAGGGGTTCATCCATCGCCCCGTATCCGAAGGAAGAGTCAAAGATCGTTTTGCCAATCCAAGTTTGTATGTGAAGTAATCACCATCGAAATTCCATCCTCACTTCCGCTGACAGTGGGATCCAGTGGTCGTATGAGTGACCGGTGCGTACGTATCTCACCATCAGTCGTAGTGGGCCAGGGAATAACGCTTGTATGGAGGAGGAGAGGAATCCCACAATCCGACAGCTATCCTTATAGAGGTGCTCTTTGCCGTAGACGGACGTGGAACGTAGTTCTCCAAGACGATGTTGAAACCGAGGAACTGGCCCGATTCAGATGGAGAAGCGATCTTTGTCTGTGTACAACAAAAAACCCAGAGTCCCGAAAGTGAACGACAAATTTGTCTGCAAACGTAGCCTGGATTCGTAAAGAATCAGCAAGTCTTCCAGGTATACGAGGCATCGCACGCCCAAATTTACGGATGTGTGCCCTCACTGGTTACAGTAGGTTCGCGAGCACCACGGAGTCGTAAACTGCTGTGTTTGTCCTCACCATTGGAATCGAAGGAAAACTTCGGCAGTCCAGGTCAACGGGTACTTACAAGCGTGCGTCCTTGAGGTCCAGATATGTAAACCAGTCGTTGTAGCCTAGGAGGTCTTGTAGAAGACGAATTTCCTCCATCTTGCAGCATTTGTATACCATGTAGGAGTTCCATTGATGTAGTCTCCTGGCTTCTTCTTGACCAGGAAAAAATTTTTTCTGGGGAAACCTTCCCCTCCAGTGCATGTTGAATTGCGCCCCTCCTGAAGAGGGTGCAGATTTTCTTGTCCACGAGGCGTTCCTGTTCCGCCAGCGTGCATAATGGAGGTGAAGGGGCGACCTGCACGGGTGTGATAAAACTCTATGACATAGCCTTGTACTGTCTGGAGAACCCAGGTGACTTTGGTAGTCGTCTCCCAATTCTGTAAAACAGAGACAGGTTGCCTGTCATAATATTGGAAACAGTTAGTTATGTAGGTTGACACACTAGTAGATGAAGTGGATGGGTTCCTTTGTGTAGCAGATGGGAGAAATATGAGGACTGTGTATACGATCTGGAACCTGTCGCCCAGAAGCGGTTGGTGGCTCGGACCAGTCCTCCCAGAAAACACCTTTCCCCGTAGGTTTGTGGAAGACTTGTTTTAGCGAGGTCTGTGTTTAATTTAGTGTGGTGAATAAATTCACGTGTTTCTTGAGTACTGCAATGAACACTACGTCGAATAGTGGGCCTTGTGCCTTTGGACCGAATTCTTGTCGTTCCTAAGTCCAATAGTGTGTTGTCGAAGCGGCCCAGTACAGATTTGCGTCTGTCGGCGCATAGTGCGTCATTTACGTTGCCCAGGAGGCATATTGAGCATTAAGACCATTCTTTGGAGGTGGTAGGGTTGAGTTGTGTACCCTGGGGTAACTCGGTCTTGAGGCGTGCGTATCCTTCCATCCCCCGAGGGTTGCGCAGCCAATAGTGTTCGTCCAGGAACGCTCCGTCTTCGGCTACTCTGGTTTAGTGCCGCTACAGTTATCTCTGCCTCAGCCGCCGTCACAGAGTAAGGTTTCCCTAACGTACTTCGAGGAAGTGTGGGGAAGGTCTTGCTGTTCCATTTCCTCAGACGGTGAGCTGTCTTCGTGTCGCTCATCTACCATGTCCAAAGTACGTGGTGGGTAATAGTCTTCTTTGTCGGAAGATTGTGGAGGACGGGGTTTGGATTCCCGGTGCTCCGCCTATTTGGTCTGTTCGATGGGCGTCTTGCCCTTGATCTTAGTGGCAGGGGGGCTGGAGCCCTTCTCTTGCCGTTTCGACTTGAAGGCTTGTGGGCCTGAAGTCTCCATCAAGCGGTGTGTGGTAGAGTTCATAACAGAACCTTCTCCACTGAGGCCGTTACTGTAGCGTTTATCATTGCCTAGAAATCTTGGGAACGTTGAGAGTGTCCACCATGACTCGTTCCCGTCCTGTTAGGAGATAGTGTGAGGGTCAGCACGTAGGGGTGTTAGACTCCTGGTAGAACTGGGGATCACTCAGGTAAAACGGTTTGAATTGCCTGCTTTAGTATGTCTGAGAGTATGAATACTCGTGCCAAGTGTAGAGGGGTCACCTCTATTAGTTTAATCTGGCTACTGAGAGCCGTGGTGCAGGCGCGACTGACTGGTAGTGGTGTCGGTCTGGCTAGCCGGGTTCACCACAAATGTACGCCAGAGCTGTATGCACGGTTTTTAACTATACAGGCTTACTATATAGGCGCATGGGGCCTGTCTCCATAAGGTCTGCAGCCGCAGGACCCATGACTATTAGGCTGGGTTCATCCCAGGTGGTGTGCCATGGTAACCCAGAGGACACCCATATTATAATTATTGGCACCTTACAAGCATTGCATGCATATCTGGGGTCATCCCAGGTGGTGTGCCATGAAAAATTACCCAGAGGACACCCACGTTCCATATGTACACTAAGCACAGTAAATATACGTATATGTATCCCTGTGAAGGGTACACCGCAATACACTCAATTTTCTTAGTGATCCTGCCGTCAAATCGCATCCGGCATGGTACTGTTGCTTTAATGTAAAACTGACAGGCAGTGTTTAACCCCTTAAGGACACATGAGATGTGTGACATGTCATGATTCCCTTTTATTCCAAAAGTTAAACATCCATAGTTAAGGGGGGTTAAACATCCATATATGTCTGTAGTAATCAGTGGTAAAGTTGAGGCGTAGGCCTCCATGCATATGAACGGGGTTCACCCCGGGTGGTGTGCCATGGTAACCCAGAGGACACCCACATCAAAGGTAATGGTCTGTCAGTGACCTTGCATGCATATCTGGGGGGTCACCCCAGGTGGTGTGCCATGAAAAAATACCCAGAGGACACCCACATAAATTTGCACCATCAGGTACAGTAATATAATATGACCCTCTGTAGGGTACAATAATATAGTATAATATGCCCTTTATAGGGTACAGTGATATAGTTGATCTTGTTATAGGTACAGTATATGTTTTGTATAACGACTGTGATATTGTATGGCTTCACAATAATACATAGATTGTGTGCCTGCTCAACATCATCCAGTGTAAGGCACCATGAGAAATATATCCATGAGAATAAAAATAATAATTGTATATAATTGATGCCAGTATGCAGTCTGATCCTGAGGAGATTATAACAATGTATAGTATAACCCTAATTGGGGTATAGTAGCTGGTATGACCCTAAGCAGGGCATAGAGACATAAAGGTCTGAAGCTGGCAAAGAAGGGGTGCTTGTCTCTTTAAAATGCATGCATTTATTGTAGATGGGCAGCACAGCAGGCAGGCACTGGGCAAAATATATATATCCTCTGGAAGGCAAACTAAAACTGTAACACTAATACCCTCCCTTAGTACACACTAGGGAGGGTATACAGATGTGGAGCCCGGCGTTCGGGCGAGTTACCGATCCGCCGGGCAAGCGGGGAAGGTGGCCGTCCGGTATCTCGCGAGCCGCGAGATCCAAGATGGCCGCCGCCCGCGTGTGAAGGTGCGCCGCGATCGACCGCGTAGCGCCGGAACGACGAGGGAAACGCAGTTCCCAGTCCCCCTCCACCCGTCCCGCTGCCGGCCCCCACCAAGAGAAAACAGTTAGCCGGCCCGTGGCGCGCGGCACTGACAGCCGTGCTCGCGGGTATCGGCAGTGGAGAGTAATAGGGGGGGGCCTAAAACACTGCAGGGACAGGGATAAGGGGACCCGAAAATAAACCAACGAAAATAAATAAATAAATTAAATTAAATAAATTAAATTAGATAAATTAAATTAAAACAATACAATCCAAAATACAGAGAAACAAAACAAACCAAAGTGGGTGAGAAAAAAAATGTATGTAAGCAATTGCCAGAGAGGCAAAATACTCTGACCTGATGTTGGCTGGAGCAGCAAAGAAAGAGGAAGTGATGTCATAGACAGGGCCTTTAATGGGCATCATAACTTTTTTCTGATTGGTTGTTATGTTTCTATGCTGCTGGAGTTTTCAGTAAAGAAAGATATGCAAATATGAAGCCTCCTGTCATGTGGTAAAATTTACGCAATTTTCCCCTTATTCGTTTAGCAAAAATGCAATTTTTTTCCTACATGCAGTAGTTGTGACAAAAATAGACAAATAAAAATAGTTATAGACCTTGCCTATAGGTATTTACAAGGACATTGAAGGGATTATTAGCTGTACAGCTAACTAAAATTTGCTACGGAATGTAACAATGGCTGCATTTGACCATAATGTCCACGTATGTGAATACATTTTAATCAAATATTTCTAAAATAAAGGTATTTAAAACTGCTAAAGCAATCTTTATCAATCTCTGGGCCGCTAATGTACTCTGATTTCACTGTCCGCATTACATTCCCCCCACACAGTCTGAAGGTATTATATTTCCCATTGAAACATCCTGTACCGTTTGAAAGCAGTTTGAGCTTACATTCTCAGCAACTATACAGTCATATAAGTAACGAGTTGCTTCTAGCAGAGAAATACATTCCTTTACAGCAAGCATGTCAAACTCTGTCTAGCACGGGCCACATAAGCAAAGCTTAAGTTTATGTGTGCCGCAAAAAAAAAAAAAAAACTAATTACATTTTCATAGAAACGTAGGTTTACTTTTATACCGCACCCCCTCTACTAAATCCCAGTCCTTCCCGCCCCCCCTCTCTACTAAATCCCAACACCCTCCTCTAGCCAACAAGCAGACTCCACTTACATTGCCGCTGTCAGTATGCGACTCCGGAGTCCGTCCGCACTCTGTGCAAAAGCGGATACTCCCGCTACTTCTTGAAACCGTGTGAAGGTGGAGCACGTCGACTTCACGTCAGAATGTGACGTGGCGTGCCTCCGTGCACCTCCAGGTACTCCACTGTCCAGCCACGGCCATCAAAACCCTGACTGACACTGACAGACACACACAAATGGCAGCTGGGCATCACAGGTTCCTTAACTGTTTTTCTGCTTTTAGGACATGTAACACCTTTAAATCTAAACTGGACAAATTAACTGCAACCCTGAAGAGGTACACAAACATACCAATCGTCAACAATAAGGGAAAACTTATACCTTATATGGTTGACAATGAAAATCCATTAGAGGACATGGCATTTATTATATGCCAAGAAGTGGTGTACTCACCATTAATGACCTCCATCGTTTGCCTGTAAGATCGTTCTTAGTTTAGTATGCTCTCTGATGTCGACCTGGATTGCATGTGGGTATTTTTCCTCTTCTCTCTTAAAATGACAGTCACAGAGTGGCTGACTAATGCAGTTGGGATGATATAAAGGTAAAGAAATACATCTTTAGAGATTGTACTGTGTCTAATGCATGAGTTCAGAACCTTAACCCCTTAAGGACACGTGACATGTCATGATTCCCTTTTATTCCAAAAGTTTGGTCCTTAAGGGGTTAAAGGGATACCATAGTGCTAAGAATACAAAATTGTATTCTTAGCGCTATATCTCCATCGTGGCTCATCAATGAACTATAGTAGTCTAGGTGCCTATAGTGTCCCTTTAACTATGCACCTTACAATCTGATTATTAAATGTTTCATTAATGTAAAAGATTTGAATTCTACAACTATCATACTTCTCTAAAGGTAGTTCATGTAAGACGGTTTTCTGTGTGGATTATATATATATATATATAATTTTTTATCCTTTATTTTTGTTGTGCATGACAAAGACAGCATATTGGCAGTCATGACATTGCTTATTAACATGAAAAAAGGACCAGCATAAACATTACGGGTGACCTGCACATTTTTTGGAAGGTAGTAAAATCAGGAGTAGAAGAACACTTATTTATCTCTAGAAATAGCTTAGAACGGTAGGGAAATGCAAGTTACGTATATTAGAGCCACTGGGTCTTGATATTCACAGGAGAACAATTAGGGGACTGTGATAGATTTACCAACTGCAGGAACATTGCAAAATAGGGTCAGGAGTGGATTATATATTTCAATATGTTATTTAATTAATAAAAAAAATTAAATGCATACAAAAGTAGCCGTCACTCAGCAGTAACAAGACAAACATCATATTCAAGTAGCGTGGCTGCACAACAACAAAACACAATGCGCAATGTTAAGCATCCGTCATAGTGGCAATAGAATCAAGGAACATTTATTCACAGAGATAAAACAAAAACTCATTGTTGGAACTAAAACAACGTGAGTAAAACCTTTGTATGATGCTGATTATGACAGGTCTTCCCACCCCATCCATGGCATGAGGTTTTGTAATCATAATGATTGGCAATAGCAATATTGCTATGGTCCCCAACCAGTTGTGTTTCTCCTCTTATCTCACGTTTACTCATGATGTTATGCACCAGATCTGTGCATGGAATGGCTATAAACAGGCAATGGATGAAACCTATAGGACAGCGTCATCTTTTTGATGCCTGAATATGCAAATATATCATTACTAGTATGATGCAAGAACATTCGTCAACATTCAGCTGGAAGCTCCATATAGTGGCGTGGATATGTAGAGTCCACCATCAGGATGGCGCTAGATCAAAACAGGATGGAAAAATGACGCAAGGTTGAGTGTATCCTTAGGTTTATTAAAAGGTAGGGACCCCTATTTTTCTCTTCTTACTCTTCTACTTAGGACTCCTCTTTCAGTCCTATTTTTTTATTTCATGTTTTATTTGCAATTAAAGGACCACTCTAGGCACCCAGACCACTTCAGCTTAATGAAGTGGTCTGGGTGCCAGGTCCAGCTAGGGTTAACCCATTTTTTAATAAACATAGTTTCAGAGAAACTGCTATGTTTATTAACGGGTTAAGCCTTCCCCTATTTCCTCTAGCGGCTGTCTCATTGACAGCCGCTAGAGGCGCTTGCGTGCTTCTCACTGTGATTTTCACAGTGAGAGCACGCCAGCGTCCATAGGAAAGCATTGTAAATGCTTTCCTATGCGACGGGCTGAATGCGCGCGCAGCTCTTGCCGCGCGTGCGCATTCAGCCCAGGAGGAGGAACGGAGGAGGATCGGAGGAGGAGAGCTCCCCGCCCAGTGCTGGAAAAAGGTAAGTTTAACCCCTTTTCCCCTTTCCAGAGCCGGGCGGGAGGGGGACCCTGAGGGTGGGGGCACCCTCAGGGCACTATAGTGCCAGGAAAACGAGTATGTTTTCCTGGCACTATAGTGGTCCTTTAAGGGTTATTCCCTAATTAGGGAGAGTAATTTTTTAAGGGCTAGTTAGCACTAATTCTTTGGCCGGTGTATACGACCTTTGAATCAGAGCTAGTATTATTTATTATAACACCAAACATATGTAGATGTGAGATTTTTATTCCAACAGTGGACTCATCAATGTTTCGACCTGTGAAGGTCTTTGTCAAACTTGGGTTTCACCATAACACATACAGCTTCAAAAGGGAGAGTGCTTAATTGACATCGCATACCCCTCTCTAGGGAGGATTTAAAAATCAGTGTAATTAACCCTTTATATACAAAGTGTACATACAAAGTGGCAAAGTTTACAAAGGATACTTACAGATGTATGAAAAGAGTACATTTTAAAATAATACATGTAAGATGCATGTCAGTAGTTCAGAAAATCAAAGAAATAATTATATAACACAATTTCAAAAATTATATATGTCATAAAAATTCAGTATATGACTGTAATAGTTAAAGAAAAAAGTACAGGAATAAACAGCAATACCAGAAAACATAGATTAAAATGTAAATATATATATTTAATATTGGAAAAATATAGAAACAACTTTGACTTAATGCTGGATCTGTAATTTTCCGACATTGAATATATATTTACATCATCTATGTTTTAGATACAGGGAAAGAAAAAAGTATTTGATCCCCTGCTGATTTTGAACGTTTGATCAGTCTATAATTTTATGGTAGGTGGTAACTGGCTAGGACACTCCAGGACCTCTCGAGCCACTCCTTTGTTGTTTTGGCTGTGTGTTTTGGGTCAATGTCATGCTGGAATACACATCCAACGACCCATTTTCAATTTCACCCAGTTCTCCTCTGAATCATTCAGATGTTCATTGGCAAACTTCAGATGGGCCTTTACATGTGCTTTCTTGAGCAGGGGGACCTTGCGGGCACTGCAGGATTCCAGTCCTTCCCGGCATAGTGTGTTACCAATTGTTTTCTTGGTGACTATGGTCCTAGCTGCCTTGAGATCATTAACGAGATCATTAACAAGATCATCCAGTGTAATTCTAGGCTGATTCATCACAGTTCTCATGATCACTGAAACTCCACGAGGTGAGATCTTGCATGGTGCACCAGACCGAGGGAGACTGACAGTTAGTTTGTGTTTCTTCCATTTGAGAATAATTGCACAAACTGTTGTCACCTTCTCACCAAGCTGCTTGGTGATGGTCTTGTAGCCCATTCCAGCCTTGTGTAGGTCACAATTTTGTCCCTGACATCCTTGGACAGCTCTTTGGTCTTGGCCATGGTGGAGAGTTTGGAATCTGATTGATTGATTGCTGCTGTGGACAGGTTTCTTTTATACAGGTAACAAGCTGAGATTAGGAGCACTCCCTTTAAGAGACAGAATTTCTTCTGACTGATAGGGATCAAATACTTATTTCACTCATTGACATGCAAATCAATTTATAACTTTTTTGACATGATGTTCTGGATTTTTTTTTGTTTGTTATTCTGTCTCTCACTGTTTAAATACACCAACCATTAAAATTATAGACTGATCATTTATTAGTCAGTGGGCAAACGTTCAAAATCAGCAGGGGATCAAATCATTTTCCCCCCTCACTGTATATATATATATTTACTTAACTATATATTTACTTTTTTTTCTTGCAGATAATCATATTTCATTCTCCAGGTTTCCCGTTTATTATATTTCATATTTTTGGCAAATATTTAGGTATTTTTCAAACTTACAAAATTATTATGCAAAAGATTTGAATCGAGGCATTTGTGTGCAGATTTTTTGCAATATCTTTGGTTTAATATTTCATACTTACATAACCAACATGTTTTCTATTCCAATTTTGATTTACAGAACTTCCAGCTCCCCCATGCCTTGTTTTCAGCATTAGTTGTCTATTTCATGTCTATCTTTTATCAGATCCTTTGTCCATTTTATCTCCTACAAAACTTACTGCCACCAGGCCATGCAATTTGCCTCCTTTTTGTGACAATCATCAGGTCTAAGTAGTTTAACTTCTGTGCTGTATAAGTGATTATTTGTGGCTCTTTCAGGATGCAGACGTGTCAATGCTTGATATCTTCTGGCATCTGCTCCCCCCAGCAATATCATGGAGGAGTCCAGGCCTCCTCCGTGAAGGTT